TTGTCATGTCCCCCTGCCCCCTCGACAGGTTACCTCAAAACATGTGCCAAAATGGGGTGCAGCGAGTTTGTGACCTCGATATTTCCACGGAAGATGTCACTAAGAAGATGAAGAATCGACACTGGTACAGCATGGGGCCGTCGTTTTGGCGAACAACATTTGATGTCAAGGTAGTGGTCGGGCCCGCGGACCTCTCGTTTCAATTATGGTCGAAGGATAAGAGAATACGGAGTAACACCCACGAGCCCATCGCTGTGAAATGGATGCCAGCCGGGGAACTTTGATTGTGGGTGAGACTTGTATCATCTCATTAGCAATTCTACTTTCGGAGATGCCCGTGTGCCATTGTTTCCCTCATTCAGATTATATTAATTCAGAGGCCTTGATGTGAGGAAAATTGTATGTACTCGGGCTAGAAAGGAGGGCCAACAAGGACCCCCTTTTGCGCCCATGTCGATTTGTTTGCGCAAAACCCGCCAAAGGTGAATATGGTTCTTCATTCTTAAATACCCTATTCCGAGTCCGAGTTCTTTCATGCGAACTGGTTCGCTCACTTGTCGAGCCTCATCTCCGCATTCCCAAGTCATGACTTCGAATATCCCGAGTCACCATCTCCACAGGCTCGGACAAAGGGGATCAGCCTGATAACGAACCTATAACTCCATATTCCCATCACAGCTTGGCTTCAAAAGCATTGACGATCTGCTGAAGTGCAGCGGCTACTTCTTGTGGTCGGGAAAGGAAGGGACTGTGGCCGGATCCTTCAAGAGTGCGAACTACCCATTTTTCCTGGCTACCCGCGCCTGCAACCATGCCATCCTGCTGCTCGATTGGAATGACGACATCAGCTGTGCACCTAATATAGCCTAATCTCCCAATATAAGAGTCGTCCTGCCAGGCTTGAGGGGGCACAATGCCCATATTGGCGGCCATGCTCTGAGGCCGAAGCTGCGGTACTGCCCAGTCGACTCGATCTGCCGGCACATCTGGAGGGAAAAACAAGCTGCGGGGATCTTTCGCTTGGAACAGACCTTCACTCGGCGTGTCCCACATCACGTAGGACAGGTCGCCAATATCGCGAATGGCCGCGCCTTGGTCCATGCCCCCAGGAAAGATAAAGGCACATAGAGCGATCATCCCTAGAACGCCTTTTTCGGACAGCCCCTTGATGGCAGCGCTCGCAATCGGTCCTGCGTAGGAATGCGCTAGGACAACGACACGCTTACCCGTAGACGTCTGCGATTCCACAACGGACCGTACGTGGGCCGCGTCATCGAATTGCGTCGTACCCACTACCCCACTGACGCATGGTAAGTCTACTGCCTCCACAGCATAGCCGAGAGCCTCTAGTGCGGGGATTTGGAATCTCCAGCACCACGAGCCATGCCAGGCGCCATGCACGAGAACGATTGTCGGTTTGGTAATTGATGACATGAGAGTGAGTAAAATCAAGCAGACAGAGTGAGTTATAATCGAAGCTGTGCTAAGTCGAATAGTAGCAGAATGGTAGTGAGGGGTTCTGGGGCTGTTTTGAAAGTAACCTCATTGGGACAAGGGCGTTTTCGACTCCTACTTCATGGCTGTCCACGGGTGCCTTCCAAGATGATGCGTTAGCCGCGATAATCCTTCTCCTTCGTATGATTTGCGAACGTAAACTAATTACTCTCCTTCTCGTGCACAGTACCCGCAAAGTACAGTACGAAGAAAAGAGAAATTTACTCCGAAAACGCCTATACTATTTATTTCGTATCTTCGTGCACCTCTAGGTGAGATTGATCCATGATCCAGACTCATTTCTGAAGCGCCTCTTCCATGGCCCTCAAAAAGCAAGCCTTATCAATAGGCCGTCCATGCTTCTGACTTCCTTTCCACGCTCGTCGCTGGTTGACCCCCCAATGGGACTCACTCTTGGGTGATGCCACCTTCTTTTCATCAGCGATATCCAGCTTCATGATCAACAACCTCAGCGCCCAATTCTCTATGCCACCGGCTTTCTTTTCGATCTCCATAAGGAGACGTAGCAGTTCGCTATGCAATTTCCTCAACACGGCCTTCGTTTCGGAGAAAGCCCCCCGAGCAGTGATCTCCTCCAGGATGTATTGCTTCATCTCAAGTGACAGAGTTTCGCCTTTTTGGGAAGCCTTAAACACGCTTGACAACGTTGTGTTGGAGAAGCCAGGTGATTGCATGGATAAGATGACAGGGAATGATAACTTCCCTTCGTCAAGATCATCACAGAATCCCTTGGTCTTTGTGTACTGGAGCAACGTGTTAGCTTGGATGCGTGCTCAGAGACACAATATGGGGGATTCGTTACATCTTCGCTTTGAAGGTTCTGGTAGTCATCTCGGATTTGGAAGTGTCTTCCAAGCAAGGTCGCAAACTGACTTATATCAAGGTCGCTAGAACATGTTAGCCTCATGTATAATTGCCGTGTGATGAGGTTTGAATACCTATTCGCCGTGGCCTCTGATCTCATCAGACGGCTGATGAGGCGGAATAGACCACCAGTCTCTATGATATGATCAGTAACCTGGTGTATGAATACGGACATGCCAATACATACTGCCGTCAACCATGCTGATATACTGCGCAGGGGTCGGTACATGTGTATGGTAGCTCCAGTAGAGGTCACGTCCCTGTCCAAGCTGGAGATTACGCATTTCATCTATTCCTGTCAGTCCGAAAACTTTCGCAAGCAGATATGCTGGGTAATTCTACCTGCGTAAACCGATACCGCAACTGGTGAAAGCATCTGTATGAGGCACAAGGCTTCATTCATCAGATATGTCGCAGTATTGATGGTTTGGCCAACACCAAATATCTGATGCGCCACTGGCTTTCCGCGTCTGAGGAAACTTCCATCCTGGATGTCATCGAGTCTATTTGGAGGTCGGTGAGATGAAACAATTTCAGGTTGAGGTGGGTTCGCTTACAGTAATGATGAGTTGTGCAAGAAGTTGACTGCACCCTCTATGATCAGGAGGGACTTCACGGGCACCTTGTACCATGAATTCAGAGCCGCTATCAATGTCTGTCTCACATTCTTAGAAGGCAGGGAGTTAATATAGGTGTAGGGATTTAACACGGGCTGTAGATTTTAGTTAGCACTAGGCCTCTCAGCGACTCTTGCGGATAGAAACTTGCCTCGTCAAGTGCGGGATACCCAGGGGTATACTTGGCTAGAACGTCATTTTCTACTTCTGTGTTTGATATATCGTTAGTCTCACTTTGTTCAGGATCAAGATTGTGCGAGGCGAGCCAGCTGAGATGGGGGTTTATACTTACTTGAGCTGGGGTCTTTGAGCCCATTCTGCTTGGCGTCTTTGGTCTCTTTTTTTGACCCATGAAGCTGGTCTAGCGGCGTAAGAACTCGCACAGCGTTGCTTCCGTACTTTTCAAGGTGGTCTTTATAAGGATTCCGATCAACCTTGCAGTAACGAGGAACACAAAGACTCCAAACCCAGTTTCCAGCCATTGAGTGCTCGAGCAGTTTTAACCACCTGAGGACTGAATCGGATGGGGTACCTGTCGTCTCGTACTGTTCTTTCAAGTAACAAAATCGCTCTTCGTGTGCTCGGATTTCAGCCTGGACAACTGCCTTCGCCGCACAGTGCGTCAGACCCTGCGTAACCGCGACAATATGTACTGCATTGACTAATGGCACGTCGCCATTGCTTTTGATATGAGACGCGTATTCCTTGTCCCAAGAGAACAAGTCATTCACCAAGCATAATTCCGCATATGCGACGTAGCTCATAGGATCGGCAATTTTTTCTTCCTCGGGGGTGAGTGTGATGCCCGATCCCCATCGGAAATTATAGAGTGTCCAGCTTTGAAATAATCAGATCGAGTTCGCAAATTGGGAATGGGCTGACATACTCGGCTGCTGCATCAACAATTCTGAACTCCAGGTAGTCATCTAGACTAGGAAATTCAAGACTTCTCACGTCCTTTACCGATGCAGTGAATGTTTGCCACGCTTTAAGGAACCATTCACCGAACACGGGATCAAGACGCAGGTACTCGGCCGCGATCTTGGCCTGGACCTCGGCTTTGCGTTGTGCTTTATCTGAAACTCTGGTCGATACAGAAGTCATGCCGCTCTGATTAAGAGCCTGGTGAAGCATCTTGTTTTCCAGTAACAACTAAATAGCGTATAAGTTTGTTGCTCCTCATACATGGAAATATTTGGTTATCATACAGCCTCTTTATCAGCAGCGTTATCGGTTTCATCTGTTGCTCGGTGTTAGTTGCAGAGAATAAAGGAGCGACATATTCACGTACCATCGTGAAGGAATGCATATTCCACAGTGTACGCGACAAGCGCGAGTCTCTCAGGTAGGCAGTTTGGCGCACACAGCGAAGTAAAATTACCTGCATGTGCATTGAGATTGCCGAATTTGGACCCAACGGCATCAATTCCATTGAGGTCTATGTGGCACTGTACTGAGACATGATCGGCGATTATCGTTTGGTTGTGAATATATGGGTTAAAGAGAGAGGAATATGCGGGATTGTTGGCGTAGATTTCGGGATCAATGCTCTCCGCATAATTGTCGGCTATTTTGTCTCCCATGGTCAAATCGGGGCTGTTACTTTCAATGTTGTGGATTCGAGAAAATACCGAGCTGCACGACGCACATGTAACAGCCGAGGGGCGCGGGAGGTATATATAGGAGGATTAGAAAATCAGAATACCTGTGCTAAGACGGCTACGTTAATTTAGACCGATACTATACGCGTGCGCAGCCGATGCCGGCTTCCTCGTTTTCTACTGCACGATATCCGCGCAAGGAACCTTGAGACTAGGGTTACCACCTTACATGTGGCAAGCCCCACAGCAATTAACGTGTTCTATAACCAATGACGGTAATTGGCTGCGCCATTAAATATCAATGTGAGACAATATGCTCTCCACCCCTATATTGTACGTTGTAGAGGTTAATCCAAAGCACGTTTTAATCTTCCATACACCTCGAGCCTTATCTATTTGTCCATAAGTATTGACTCGCATGGAAATTGACCTCGGGGGCGTCGACCATGTACCTAGTAAGTTTTGCTCTTGCCTATTTAAGTACGAGGGTGAAGGATCAAAGAACAGCACATCATGTTATTAAATGAGAGTTATGCCAAGCGGAATATCCACAGCTAAGTATAGCCATTTCCTAACGGGAAAGTAAAAACAGGATTTCGCCCGGAGATAGGAGCATTGAGAGTAACTAATTTCGCTTGCAAGCCGGTACAGTTTAGTTTACTTCGCTCTCGCAAACGGCCTGCGCCAATAAGAAACAAGCGCGTCAGTGCATCATGGTGTCTTTTCCCTTATTATCTGGCCTAATTACAACCGGCAGGCCCGGAGATCTTTTTGAAACGGCCGACGCCTTGGCCCGCGCTTGTATGTTCGAATTTGGTGAGTTGCAGCTGGGCGGGAAATGTGGATATGGTGGAGATTAGGGAGTTCGGGAAGATTCCCGGAAGAGCCTAGATGGAGCGCGAAGGACATACTTATGCAGCTATACAGGATCTCCCTTGGGCTTTCCTATCTGAGCTGCCGCCGCTTTTGTGAGCTCCCCAGGTCGTGGAGGATCACATGGCAGATGCCAGCACGGGGAAAGTCGGTCACGTGTAAACCAAGCGATGCTTAGTGACCGGCTATACCCAGAATGGATTAGCGCCCATATATCGCTGTTGCCTTTGCATTCAGAGACCTATATGGAGTACCTACCTACATGTAGATACGAACCGGGGTCACCACTCGTACCGGATTGACTGATTCCTTAGGCCTTTTGGTTGAGAGAAAACCCCACTTGCAGCCTCTGAAGCTCCAGTTTGTGTAGGGATGAAGTGCAGCAGTTCTTTTCTTCTCTTCCTTCTCCTCCCCTTGGTTAGTAAGGGTGTCGTACCAACAGTAGGCTCAGTCACATGGCCGGTGGATAGCCGCGGGACTGGTGATGCACAGTGTAGAATGCAGCAGCCGGATGTAGTACACAGACAAGGGGTATAGGACAAGCGAGCCAGAAATACTCGACTCCATTTCTCTGTACAAATGGATTGCATCTCTGTTCTAGCCAATGCCGTGTTATATAAAGGGCTCCTAATTAAAGATTTACAGATTGCGTGGGATGCATTATAGCCTGTCTACAACAATCTGTTTGCGAACAGCTTGACTTCAACGATATATACATATTTTCTCTACACCAAACCCCGACTCGTCTTCTGTTCAAGCTAAGCCATTCCGGCTCAACCCCCATCCAATCAATGGACAGAGAGATGACATGGTACCTATCTTTCCACTTGAGGTATCTGTGACAGTGAAAGGATGTTTAGTACGCCGGCAATAGATCCCTGTGCACTGCGCATGCATTAATCGTCTCGGAATTGGTAGGGCCTCCCGCCTCGGAAACATATAATCACACCTCTTCAAATTGAGAGGTGGTTCTTCCAAAATACACAGCTTTACGAATTAAGGAGGTACAAATTAACGAGGTATGACTCTACGTACCCACCTAGCCCCAGACCCTGGAGGTGGATGACTAATAACAGCCCGTGCATACTTACATCAGCAGGTACGTATCGTACTCACCTGGGCAGCGCGTGCTCAGTTTTACGCAGTGATCAAAAAGCGGCAGGAGATAAGGCCTAAAATGGAGGAGCAAAGGTTTCCCGAGAACCCATTATTGCCAGGCATGCACAGCCTGCTTTAGTGCAGTTCTATGCAACTCAACAGGTTTTTGTATAAATGAGGACATCTCGGTCTTAAGTCTCAATATTGGCCCGGTGCCAATCGTTCCCAATCCGATAAGCTTGTGTACTGGACCCATTGGTCTACGTGGTCACTTCGATACTAACCATAACATACCCAGGAACCTGACACAGGCATCTTCCGAGTCGAATCGAAGCTCCTATTCAGCGATTGACAATATTCCGGGCTTTTCCAGAAATATATTAAATAGCCTTCATATGGAATCCCCCGGGCATATCCCTGTAATCACGGATATCCACAGAGCGGTCGCGCAAGCCGTTCGAATCCTTGCAGGAAAAGTAGCGCCGGAGCACATTGACCTAGCATCCGAACAAAGTTACAATTCCGCGGCTAGACTGCGAGTGGGGATTTCGAGGGATGCCACGTAGCAATCATTAGCTTTTCTACGGAGTACTCCGTACTCGGTACCCAATCCAAGCTAGAGCAATTGGTAAACAGTCTCAATGGGGGTTCATACATGAACATAACCCCTTGCGGTGGGCAAATTATCTCTCAAACTTCGGCCGCTGAATTTTTAGCATCAAACACATCACCATCATGCCACTACTGTGGTTTGGGTTCTTTTCCTTTGCTTGTGGGTTGGTGATCTACCGGCTACATTTCCACCCTCTTAGCAAGTTCCCAGGTCCAAAACTAGCTGCCCTAACAAGTCTTTATGAATTTTACTACAATGTGGTCCTGGGTGGCCGATATTTGTGGGAGATAGAGAGAATGCATGAGAAATATGGTGAGGAACTATCATTCGAGACACTGGACCATATCTCAACACTAAATATTTTCAAGGTCCTATTGTGCGCATTACTCCTCACGAGCTTCATGTGGCAGATCCAAACTTTTATACAGAGATATACGCAGGCCCTACCAGGAGGCGTGACAAAGACCCAAGACTTGTGCGGCTAGCAGGTCAACCAACTTCCATGTTCGCGACTGTTGATCATGGCCTGCACAGTTCGCGTCGAGCTATCCTTAACAACTATTTCTCCAAAAAGTCAATCGCAAGCCTAGAAGACATGATCCAGCGCAAAGTACAAAAGCTCGTCAAACGACTGAACACAGCTTGTGATCAGGGCACAGTTGTACAGCTGGATGCTGCATCTTCGGCTCTGACTGCGGACATTATCTCGGAGTACGCCCATGGTGTAAGCCTTGATTACTTGGACGATGTCAATTTCAATAATGAAGTTGCAGACTCCATATTGAGTCTTGCATCTGTAGTTCATGTGTTGAAGTTTTTCCCTTTCCTTTTGGATCTTTCAAAGTTCATACCTGATAAGGTGCTTGAAAACCTTTGGTCACATGCAGCCAACATATTGCGACTACAGAAACTGGTTCGCGCTCAGGCAGACGTCGCACTCCAAAACGGAGGTAAAGTGGACGGTCAAACAACAATGTTCGGTGCTCTCTGTGACCCCTGCTTGCCTGCGCAAGAAAGGACATTGGATCGGTTGCAGGACGAGGGCTTTTCGTTGATTGGTGGAGGCACAGAGACTACAACAGGAACTCTCAAGGTCATCATGTTCCACTTGCTCAATGAGAAGGCTCTACTTCTCAAGCTCCGCAAAGAGCTTGAGCAATCTCCGTCTAGTACATGGGCCGAACTTGAAAAACTACCATATATGGTAAGCAATACAATATGCCACATGTGAAAACAGGACTAACCGATGAACTTCGTTTTAGAGAGGAGTGATGAATGAGGGACTTCGTCTCTCTGGCGTCATAACTCGTCTTCCCCGGCGTGCGCCCGACGAAGCACTGAGATACAAGCAGTGGACAATTCCACCAAACGTAAGCTCCTATATTCTCCGAGATCGACAACGCTAACGCAACCTTGCGCCTCAACAGTCCCTCATGAGTACGTCCACTCATTTTGTTCATACAAATTCGGATTTGTTCCCTAACCCGCTTGCCTTTGACCCTGAGCGCTGGATCCGTGCTGAAGCGGCCGGTCAGCGCCTGGAGCATATGATTGTCACCTTCAGCAAGGGGTCTAGGCAGTGCTTGGGCAACCAGTAAGATAATGCTCGACTTCCTCTCCTGGACTCTCACTTACACTGGAATCTAGTTTGGCTTTGGCGGAGTTGTACCTGGTCATTTCGACGCTGGTACGGAAATATGATATGGATTTATATGGCGTGACGGCGGACAACATCGTCACACATAGGGAGTATGGCTTTGGCGTTCCAAAAGAAAGAGGTGAAGGATTAAGAGTCAGTATTTCACGGGTTCGTAACCCGTAGCTTGCATCGTTGAACTTTTACTCTTCGTATATATCGGGGAGTTGACTTCTATGGGATCATGCTAACACTGCTCGGGTGTCGGCTCAAAAATGATATTATGCATCAAGCTCATGAATAACCACACGTCAAAGAAAGGACAAAGCAACTGCCATGCTGTGTTAGGCCACGGTCAGCACAGTCTATAACTGGAATCTTTATACGCTGATTACTTTGTTGGCATCCTTGTCCACATCTCCGATGCTTAGTCCGCGTTACAAAGAGAAGTAACAAGACAGCAAGATCAATGGTATTCTTCTTCCTTTAGTTCTTTTCTGTTTATGTATTCTTTGTGTTGAAAATAGTTGCATTTTTACTCGACTCGGTAAACCCACCTGAAAGGATATATAGACCTCGAGGTCAGTGAACATATCCCACTCTTCAAACCATATTCTACTCATCCTTGTACAACTTTGCCAACTGACCATCATCAGACTATTCGTATCTTGTTTGCCATTTACTTGAAACAACCACCCACGAGGTGAGCCCCATCAATATCCACTACCATCTCACTAATCTATCTATGATACCGCAGCCATGTCAGGACGCAGACAGTCTGCTGAGTTCCGCGAGGAACATGCTAATTTCTGGACCCTCATACAGCAGATCATCCATGGTCTTAGAAATAACTACCCAGCAGACCAAGACGAGATCATTGGCCGGATGGGCCAGCTCAATCTCCAGCTCTCGACCCTTCGACGAGCCGGAGAGATGATGGGTGGGAGTTACCCACCAAGCGATATCGTCCGCAATGCTCCACCTCAGTACTTCACTGCCCGCACTCAACGCCATCAGAATTACTTCGGTACCGAGTTTGGGTATTCCTGCTGGTATACCCAAGCCCAGCTGGCCTACGCCATTGCAGACTTTCTCCACCAGAGAGACCACACGCGAGTAGCCGACCAGCTGGAGCAGTTGTTAGCGAGTTGGCAATTGACCGAGATGAGAGTCTTCCCCCGCCAGCTTCCTACACCCAATCCCGTCCAACAGCCCGCCAATATCGTGCATATAGATGGCCCGCCATACTATACACCAGGCGGTCCTGAACCAAGCATCAAGACCACCAAGACAGCAAGGGCTGCTGGGCCAGTTCGCACCCACCCACGTGTCCATATCACTATGCCCGCCCCAACCGACACTATTTACGGCGTGGCACGGCAGACACGCCATCGCGCTGCACCATACCCTGAACGGGGTGTTCGCCCGAGACGTCGTGGCAATGCTAGACTAACCCCGCCGATGCCTCAGATGGCTCTTCCACTCCCTAATATTATGCAGAACGGTGATGCTTTGCATATGCCAGTGCCGACTCTTCCCGGTGTTCAGTCCCTTTTCACCCCACACATCCTCCCCGGTGGACGTGCTCTGCCTGGTGCACCCAGTACGTCTGGGCCACCCCCACGTGGTATGCAGTTCCCGTCTAAAGCACCAGCGCCTAACACTGGTGATACTGTGTCTATTTTGAATGCCAATATCGGGGAGACTTTGAATAGAGACCAGTCCCGTCAGGACCCCGGCGCTCGCCGTTGAGATAATCAGCATTAGCAGAATAAGCAGCAACCTAGCCTTTTTTGACCGTTTACCTTAGAGAATTCATAGTAAGTATTCACTAAATAATCGACCGCTTGTTGCCCGATTATATCTACCCACTATTAATAACTGCCACAATCTTCATACCTGAAGGCTTCCTTCGCACAAAACCAAAGAACCTTTGTACGCCGTCTCTGTTATGGTTAAATAAGTGGATTCAACATTCTTCAGACAGGCATCTGAATGGCTCGTATATTCTTGTTCAGAAAATTTATCCATCTCTCAATAACAATCCTGGCGGTCTACTTGTGTAGTCAGAGGTAGATATTGTTTGATATATATTTAATATGCAAAGTAGCATGTTAATCAAAAGTAGGATTGAAGATCGGCTGTACTAGGTATATGCTGTACTGTATACATATGAACCTTGCAATGCAATATACAATATATCGTACTATATATGGCATACATCAGTCCATGTCCATCTTGCCACTTTCCAAATCTGTTGATCAATAAGCCGGCCAATCAGAGGTCAGAATCAATCAGGCCATTATCATTTCTTGGCGGCCGATCCTCCGCGCATGTCCAGGCCAGCTTGTCCACTTTGCAGACCCTGACATTCTTAATTCTTGATTTTGTTGTTCTTTGCTCTTTTATTGTTGAGATTTGTTTTCTAAACCATCACTGCGCAAACCCCACAACTTACCACCACCGAACAGACCGTCTCGTTGAATTCTGGCCTTCGCGCCACCTTGCATATACAACAACTCGACGACTTCTACGCGCTTGGTCTACATATACCACAAGTCGGGAGACCAAGATGCGGTCTGCAGCGAGGCTGCTCTATGCCGCAGTGTTCGCATTTGCTGGCTTGAGCCATGCCAGCATTCATAATCCTTCACTGGACCCAACCAAGTGTGCTGTAAGTCTTGTCAATACAGGATACTCAGTACGAATGACTGACAGTCCATTTTGCTCCAGCTCGAACCTTCGGCGATGGTGTCGGACGCGTGTGTCTCATATGGCGAGATCAACGGCATGAACGACCTTGTTTTCACGACGATCAACTCCCTCACACAAGAAACGGACTTCTTCTCCTACTATCGCCTGAACCTGTTTAACAAAGAGTGTCCCTTCTGGAACGATGCTAATAGCATGTGTGGAAACATTGCCTGTGCCGTGAACACCATTGACTCAGAGGAGGATATTCCGTTGACATGGCGGGCGGAAGAACTCAGCAAACTAGAGGGCCCCAAGGCGAACCACCCATCCCGCAATATCCAAGCCGAGCGTCCCAAAGAACGCCCACTGCAGGGAGAGCTGGGTGAAGATGTCGGCGAGAGTTGTGTGGTGGAATACGACGACGAATGTGACGAACGGGACTACTGTATCCCCGAGGACGAGGGTTCCGCCGGGAAGGGAGACTATGTGAGCTTGGTGGACAACCCGGAACGCTTTACGGGATACTCTGGAGCAGGTGCAAACCAAGTGTGGAATGCTATCTACAGCGAAAACTGCTTCTTGAAGCCCGTGGCTGATGAGCTGGACGAGCAGTCGCTGAACGTCCCGATGGGCGGCCTCCAGGCAGCGTCTGACTTCCGCAATGTGCTCCACAAGGAGTCACAGCGAGTAGAAGGACTGCCGCTGGATAATGAATGCTTAGAAAAGCGGGTGTTCCACCGGCTGCTGAGCGGCATGCATGCTTCCATCTCGACACATCTATGCTGGGACTACCTTAACCAGACCACAGGCCAGTGGCACCCCAACGTGCAATGCTTCAAGGAACGACTCCTCGACCACCCTGAGCGCATCTCAAACATGTACTTCAACTACGCTCTAGTATCGCGCGCCGTGGCAAAACTCCGCAAGCACCTGGACGGGTACACATACTGCGCCAGTGACCCAGCACAAGACCGCGAGACCAAAAAGCGAATCAACAAGCTCACGGCGACCTTGACGGAACTGCCCAAAATCTTCGACGAAAACATCATGTTCCAAGACCCCTATGCCCTCGGCCTGAAAGAGGACTTCCGCAACCGCTTCCGCAATGTCAGTCGCCTGATGGACTGCGTCGGCTGCGACAAATGCCGCCTCTGGGGCAAGCTTCAGGTAAACGGGTACGGAACTGCGCTCAAGGTGTTGTTTGATTACGATGAAACCAAGAACGGCGAGAACCCGCCTTTACGCCGCACCGAGCTGGTCGCCCTCATCAATACCCTCGGCCGCATCTCGCATAGTATCGCTGCTTCGCGCAGTATGCAACGAGCCCTGCTGACCGGCACCACTCACATGTTCCCCGTTCACGGCGCCGTTCCCTCCTCCCACCACGCCAACGCCCTCGGCAACAATAGGCGCGTGTTCAGGGACGGGAATAACAACTTTTACCTCGAAGGCGAAGGGGTCGAAGACGAGTACGTATATGGCCGAGGCGAGGCACCAGAGCGGTACCCCTGGGAGCGCAAACCGCCTAACCCAGACGATGGCTTCTTCGAGGATTTCATGTCCGAGTGGAATATGATTTGGGGTACGGTTGGGTATATCTGGAAGTCTTGGATGGACATCCCATATACACTGTAAGTTTGAGCTTTTATTTGATTTGTTCCGATAGACTGATACTGACTACCTCTCGCAGATTCGAAATCGGCGCGTCGGAATTCATCCGGCTGTACAATTACTGGCTCGGATTGCCGGTGCCTCCTCGCATGTGGAAGCTGAAGACTCCCCAGCCGCGTGCACATACTCAACCTGCTGCTTATGCTAATCGTGACGAATTATGAGTTCCCTGTATTTCATCTTTGCATTGGCATCTGTACATATATGGCTCCGCGCTATGGCGTTGATAGACTTTATCTGGATCGGTTTCGTTTTTTTTTCCGGAGTACTTTGGTGAATCTATACTTTTTCGTGCTTCTTCAAGTTGGATTTTACGGTAGGGATGTGTCTGGCGTGTTCACATATAGGTCTAGGTCTTGGGTATGTGCGATGTCTCCTATAGAAGGTAACCTTAATGCGGTCGAGTTACACATTAAAGCTTGGATGTAGATATAAATGTGAATATGCCTAGCATGCATAACATATGTTGTACATCCTATATATGGCTCCACTAATTCCTCGACTTTGTTCATCTCGATCTCAGATTACCTCGGTCGCCAGGTACATGCGTTTGCCACCGGAGAGTTTTCCGAACAGGCGGGAAAGGGCGAACAGGGTAGGGCGAACAGGTTGAACAAGAACAAGATGAGCCTGCTAATTAGATATTACCTAGACACTTGGATCTTTTTAATAAATACAAAATCCATCTGCAATTATGCCCATGTCTATGTACTACCCACAACATAAGCAGAGATACCCCGTATTCTTCGGCAAACCCCGACCTCGGCTTCTCCACTCCCGGCCACATGCGTCCTTTTCTTCTCTCTTCTCTCTCCTCTCACCCTTCCAGTCTCGCGACAAATCCATCTGAGCATACCGCGCATCATACCTCGATGCGACTCCGCTAATATCTAACACCATGGCGACGCCTTCGCCACCGAAACCGTGGGAAAGAGCAGGTGCAGCGGGTAAGTGTCTTTCTCGATTGCCGATATCCTAGCGCCACAGAGCAATCCACAATTGTCCACCCCCGACTAACATCCCCTCTTCTCTTCTCTAGGAAACGCATTATCAACAGCACCTATCGCCGGTAGCCCTGCTGCCTCGACCGCGATGACTACGACAACCAACCCCGCCACTTCAACCTCCACCGCCCCCGACCTTCCCTCCCGTCCTAGCACTCTCAACTCCGTAGTCAACAATACCGCCTCCAACTACTCGCCATATGGAGCCTCGCGTCTTGGAACAGGCGCGTATGGATCCAGCTACGGTGGCATGGGTGGCATGGGGGCCATGGGATCACCTTACTCCCGCTTCGGCACCATGGGCGGTATGGGCTCCATGTACGGCGGCGGCTATGGAGGCTACGGAGGTGGCATGTATGGTGGCATGGGCGGTATGGGAGGCTACGGAAGCATGTACGGTGGCATGCCGGGACAAGATCCCAACGATCCGAACAGCCTGACGAACTCGTTTGGGCAGAGCACACAGGCCACTTTCCACATGATTGAGAGCATCGTCGGTGCGTTTGGTGGCTTTGCTCAGATGCTCGAGAGCACATACATGGCTACGCACAGTTCATTCTTTGGTTGGTCTTCCTCTTGCGAAAGAATATATGACGGACACTCGCTGACTCATTTTTGTAGCAATGGTCTCGGTCGCAGAACAATTTGGAAACCTGCGCAACACCCTTGGCTCAGCCCTGGGCATTTTCACCCTCATTCGGTGGTTCCGCACATTGATCGCTAAGCTCACAGGACGTCCTCCGCCAGCTGATGCGACGTCTTTGACTCCCGCTGCCTTCGCAGCTTTCATGGGCGGCCGCGCTGCTGCTACCCTCCCCGATGGCTCGCCCGCTCCCGCCAAGCCATCCAAGAAGCCTTTCTTCATGTTCCTGATTGCCCTCTTTGGACTCCCCTACCTAATGGGCAAGCTCATCAAGACCATGGCTCGATCCCAGGAGGAAGAGGCGAAGCGCCGCCAACTCGTTGGTCCCAACGGCGAGCCGGGCTCAGCATCTCTCGACCCGGCCAAGCTGGACTTCTGCCGTGTCCTCTACGACTACACTCCCGAGACCCAGGAGAGCAACGGAATTGACCTCGCTGTGACGAAGGGCGACATCGTCGCTGTCCTCAGCAAGTCTGATCCTATGGGCAATGCCTCCGAGTGGTGGCGCTGCCGTGCCCGCGACGGCCGCGTCGGATATCTTCCTGGTCCGTACCTGGAGACTATCCAGCGCCGGCCCAATCAGCAGGCTATCACAGCAGGTAGCGAGCCTGCTACTCGCACCTCTACAATGAAGGGCGACTCTGTGGCCGAAGGTCGCACGCAGAGCCTGTCATCTCTGGGCAAACCCGAACTTAACAGCAAGATCGGCGATATCTCGCCTGAGAGCTTCCAGAAGAGCACTTTCTATTCATGAGCCATGAGCCATGCCATATAGACCTTGCCCGGTGCTTGGTTTGGGCTTTCCCTTTCTATTTGTCTTTGTCTTTGTCTTTGGAATGCTAGACAGATTGGAGCAGGGTATGATTTTCTGATAGCGACGTTAACAGGCCAAAAGCTTCCACCCCTCGAGCTTCGTGCTCATCCTTGTATATCCCCCGAGCGTTTGGATCTTCTCGATCCTGCTTCCGAACTGTGACCCGCTGTGCAGGCAGCAACCTAGCTGTGATGCTAGTGGTTGTCCTTCCTTACCCAGGGCTCATGATACGAACCCTCAGTATCACCTGGGTAGTCTCCCAGTTTCCCTCTTCTCCTCTTTTTCCATTTCGGCTTCTTATTTTCCTTTTATCGTCCCATCGGATTGGATTCATTTTAGCGACGGTTTCCCCGATCCCATTTGGTTTATGTATTTAGTATTTATTAGTGCAATGCACACATACACACCGCAATCTCTCCCACTAGTCCTAGTTCGAAACAAAACCCCCCTCTCCTTCCCCTTTCGTAAACACAAAAGTACCACATCCCCCCTATCCAATCTTCAATACTCCCATTCAATACGTCCCCTCGTGGACTACCCTCGTGTGGCCCACCGTGGGCCATCCCATACCCGTCCCGTCAGCTCCTGGCACATCGGTCTCCATCCCCACCACTTGACACTCGATATATCGAATATCAATCGAGTTTGACTCTACTCCGTATATGTACATCGTATATTTCACCAACCCGTCTGCACAGATTCGGTCATCTCCACTATACAATATTGTATATCCGTATATGCAGGAGTCCGTCCGTACATACGTGCTGTGCTGAAAGCCCTAAACTCATATGCAAAACCACATCAAGATCAAAATCCCTAAACCAGATCCAAAACCGAAACCCCCAATCCAAATGCAAAACCGAATCCCCCCTTCCATGCAGGTGCACACACCCGCGCACCTGGGCACGTCATCTCGCTTACGCCCACTTCCCTGCTCCCTGCTCGCATCCCCATTAGTTACACTCCCTCGAGTTCACGCCTCCATCCGGCTCCCTGCAGCTTTTGCCTTCCGGACTAGTCACTCCCGGTTGTGTTTTTATTTGGATTTGGATTTGGTTTGGGGCTGGTGAGGCTATTTGCGTGTGCTTGGCCTCTAATAGTCTGCCTGGATACCCCGGTCTGGTTTGTAATTTGAGCTGAGGTAGGGCCGTTTTGGCTTTTTGGCGGGTTTAGGTGGTATTGGACGTTGTGGTGATGGATACGGAGTAGTGGCTACGACATTATGTAGATGTACTGCGAGTACTGGGGTAAGGGAGTAAGGGGCCGAGAATTGGGTTCCTTTTCACTGTTAGCTTTGTAATAGCTCCATGGTGTGTAAAATGCACTAATCTACATCATTGGCTTGGAAACATACTGATCTTTGATTTTGTGTTGACGTCTCGTTGGCTCATAGTATGTCTACCGCTTGCGGAGTATAATGTGCTTAAACGCTTGCGTGGTTCTGATTTGATTTCTTGAACTACATAGATAAAGGCATTCAGCGGTTCATTTCAATGCTTTTTGCGCTACGCCTCTCACGCTTCTTCTTTCCGCGCTGTGTCACGTATTGCTACGTGCGTGTGCATGCACGTCATCCTGTGGACGTGATCGGGCTATATACATAATAGAGTAGAAGTGTTTTACGATAAGTCACCGCGGGGAACCGGCAAGTTTTTGAGATACTCCCTTTTAAACCTCGGGTCCCAGTCGTGTGCGAATGTAATATCTTGTGCATAGGGAATCCAGGAGGGAGAGACAGGTGGGCATGGTACACCCATGACGCCATCTGCGATGAGTGTCGTATGATTGTGGCGAACGGTGAATTTGCCGGGGTTGGTCGGGGTAAGCGACACTGCTGGGGTTGTGTTGTAGAAGTGCAGGACGGATATTTGAGACGAGGGTTGCAGCACAGGAGGTTTCAGGGTGGTGTCTGAGAGGAAATGTCGTGTCGGGTGAGACATAGCTGAGACAGGGACTAGGACTGGCACCGGGGTTGGAGTCGAGAGGGAGGATAATGTCGGTCGAACGGATGGGTATCGTTGTTGCTGTGGAGCTGAGACGTGTCGCCTTCTCGTGCTACCCATACTTGACAAGCAGCATAATGCAAGATATACAGAAACTCAGATGCCATGCATATATCACCAATCTAAAACGCGGAGAAGCCATAATAAGAACGCCCTTGCTATGAGTCTTCCTCCCCTGGGCTATGTTTGGAAAGGAGGGATGGGAACAGAGCACGGGAACCATATACATAGACAGAAAGAAAAAAGGCTCGCACGCTGATGGGAAGGGGGGGGAAATCGAGACATAGATAGAAAGCAAGTGAAGCAATCGAAAGAAATGAAAAGAAATAAAAAGAGTCCCTCAATCAAAACCAAAACCATCAAAATCACATCCCCAACCCCTCATGATGAGGAGGCTCATGATTAGGATCCTGATCCCTAGCCCACTTCGACATCGACTGCGTAAGCGTAAAATCCAAATCCTGCAGTCTGGTCTGGAACGACTCAACCGTATTCCAGTCCGGCGGATGGGTATCCGCTTCACTGGGAGCATCCTCGAGATCCCTCGGTGCCGGCCCAGGGTGACCATGCGCGGTGTGAGCATTGTGAGCATTGTGAGCAGCGTGTGCACCAGAGCCATGAGGGCTGTGTACATGCGAGCCGTGAGAGCTGTGAGACCCGTGTGCACCGTGCGAGAGATGGTTGCCTATTGAATGGTGGTAGGACTGGATATGACGCTGGTTTGAGTGCATAGACATCGGCATGGACGGGCTTTCTTCCAGTTCCAGATCGGGCAGGTTTTCGAGGTGGTTTGGGTCTAGAGCGAAATATCTTCCATCAATATCATTCGGTACACTCACACTCACCGGAACGGCCGTGGATTTACCGTATGAGCCGAGTGAGTAGGGCGGCATCTCTCGGGTTGGCGATTGCATGTCGGGTAGTGGTGAGATGGGCGTTGTGACGGTGTGTTCGTCTGTTGGCTCTGGTGTGTAGCAAGTCATGTCGGACGGTGTTTCTATTGGGATTGTTAGTTATATGGGTGGTTAGGGTTTGATATAGTTCATCTCCGGTTCTATATCAATTTGAGATGTTGATGCCAACTCACGAGGCTCGGGGCTCTGTGGCTCAGTGTCTGGTTTCTTGTCTCGGTTGGTATCCCATGATGTCCCATAACGACGCACGAAGCGGGCGATACGTTTTGGATCGACATTCTGGCCGTTTACCCGGAAGGCTGTCTGTTTGCCTTGGGCAGCGCGTTTCTGTTGCTTGCGGAGCATGAGATGGACTTCTTTGGCTTTGATGTTCTTTCGAACATGCCATGCAGCAAGACGATCTTTGTATTGTTTTTCTCTAATGGACTGGAGTTAGGTGATACTGCGAGCAAGAAGGGGATCTATATGGGATGAATACGCAAGCGTATTCCATAAGAATGATGATGAAGAAGATAAAGAAAAGGATAGTAATACGATGCAAAGAACTTATAATCCCTTTCCATGATGCGTTTCACATCGCGTAGTTTCAACTGGTCATTGCGGTAGAGTTGTTCGATGATTTCACGATACTCGTGCCAGTCATCCGATCGGCGGGGTCGAAAGACGTTAGGCGATGTAGGAGAGATGGGGGTCGAGTAATTATTCTCCATGATTAAGAGTTAGGATGAGGTAGAATCTCATATCATACTGGTCTCATTGAGATATTTAGTATGCAAAATAGAGGTTCCGCAGTCCATAATAAATTCTTTTTTAAGGAATGCAAATCATAATATGTTCTAGAAAATCAAATAATTAAATCGCCATAAAATAGCGAAGAGGCAAGAGATGAGGGGGCCAAGGAATTCTCTCTCTTCTCTTTGCGGCGACGTGCACGCGGACGCACGACCCCCTGCTTCCCCGGACAAATCAGGTCGTCGACTGGGCTCCATTGGTCAGCTATGGCCCAGTGGCCAGGCAACTTGTCACGATCGACGTGTATGTCGAGGAGAATATCTCCGTTCAGGCGTCTTTTTGTGGTAGGAGTTGATATGGGTTTCTTTGTTTTTCTTTATTTTTGCTTTTTTATAATTTGTATTTCTATATTTTATACTCTATAATTCTTACTATTTCCAAGGTTATCCCTTATTACATTATTACCGTTAGCTGGAGACCTTGAGTGGAGAAGGTGCTTTTGTCCTTTACAGCCTAAGCGAACTATTACATGCAGTGCACTGGCCGCAAATTGGATGCATTTTCCGTTGCCTTTTCTTTTTTGTATTCTGTACTCCGGAGAGAGAAGATAGTACAATGTACTTCCTCCTATACTAGATAATAGAATATACTATATAGTACATCAAATATATGCAGATCAGAACAAAAACCGGGAGCGGGCCGAATCTTCCCTGACAGGTCTTTCCAGTTCCGTGGATCAATCAGCCACGTCAGAAACGTATCCATGAATATGTTGTATATCACGAGCATGAATCACATAGATCTACCTACGTACATACCTAGACAAATACCTAGATATCTATATGACACCTGACATAACGTGCCAGATCTCAACTGTCAAACCAAGCAAGGAGTAAAAACCGTTAAACCCGTTGAAATCCACCGATCCTCAAGGGGGCGAATATCCATGCGCTTTGGGCTCTCGACAAGGTTACCCTGTCAGACCAATTTTTCCAATTTCCCCAATTTCCCTCAGTATTTATAGGGTAAATCGTTAAATTATAATATCTGGCCGAAACTCATTAAAAAAAAACGTACGATGCAAGGTCCGTGCTACCTTGACCTTGTTTATCTTTTTTCCTTTCCTTTTTGCGGAATACTTCCTACCCGTTATACCAGTTAGAAGTACATCCATGGATTGTCTCCGTGCTTACTCTATATTTTATGCTGTGTCCCCCCGGGGTTGAACAGGTCGTACAATGGAGTTTATCTAAAGTGATACCCTCGGCTTAGATTTTTATCTTCTGATTCTATCTTCTTCGGACTCGACTCAATCCTACTCTCATATACAACGGTGCACATGCGTTATCACCTGCATGCGTGGCCCATATCTCAAGGGCTAGAACTCCCAGCGCAAAACTCAGGAACTAGTGTCAGGGATTAATAGGTTGAAGATGGTCGCTGCACCGATCTACAGGGTTTTCTTTTTGTCTTTCGGGGAGAAAGAATCCTTGTCCCCGAGAGGGATGGGAGGTATTTTTGCTTGCAGCTTTGATTATATCCGATTGAATAAGTGAGCGAGGCAAAGGACGGAGTACAATCATTTTTAAGAGGAAAGGGGGTGGAAGAACATTCAGTTTTAAGACAGATGAAAAAGCAAAAACAAGGGAAAAAAAAGCGCGTAAATCCATCTCCCAAACCAGGTATCCAAGCTCCAAACAACTAATCCTCAAATGGACATCTGTTGCGAAAGTGCGGGGTGTACTTTCTTTATTCCCTCTCTCTTCCGATATAAATATGAACATAACAGAGCATTATAAACAATTATAAATATACACAAAACAATACCCGCGCTTTCCTTGGAAGTGGACAGTGGGAGCACAACGGCCATCCCGCGTGGAGCCCCTCCACTACGAGCCGCCTGTAGACGGAGTAGACGGAGAAATCTGCCGACGACAGCTCATAGGTCCACGGACCATCGTTCACCGGCTCGGATCGCATGCAGGTACTAGGATGTAGCGCGCAGACTGGATTGAATGTACGAATGCATATCGGAGGCCACTTCTCGCCCCCGAGCCATACGAGGAGGGAAATGGGAGGAGTGATTGAGGGAAGTGGGGATGTCTGTTCCCGGCCCACGCGCCAGTGCTGCATTCAGCCGACATATGTCAGGGGATTGGTTGGGCCGCCTCGTCATTCCAGTAGTGTTGTGACAGGCCAATGAGGCACTGGGGTTCAGCCGTGGTTGAAACACCTTGGGCTATGGCACGTCATTGCCATCCCCCCTATGATGTATTTCGTACATCGATGTAGTTACATCTTGGGGCTCATCGACAAAGTACGGAAGTGATGCGCTGTGCAGGTCTTGAATTTCACCTGCGCGATTTTTCGGCCGCGTGACTGGCGTTTGAATCCTGTGCGGCCTCGCCTTTCGCTGTTTTTAAGAAATAATCCCAGGCTTAGGTGTGTTTCAGGGTTCATGTTTTATTTTTCGGGGCCGTTTCCTGTCTGGCTTGTTCCGCGGCTGCTACAGCTGCAGCCGCAACAGCAGCTGAGTTGCTAGACCCCGTGTTAGCCAGATTGCTGGCATGCGCAAGGAGGAACTTGCAACAGGTCAGCGTGTACTTGCAGGCTCGAGTCCACGTCTCATCATTCTGGTTGAAGCCCAACTTGATGCTGGCATCGCCAATACGATCCCGCTTGATCTCATAGGGCAACTTTAACCCTGGTGCTGTGGCGCCGGTCGGGCCTCGACGGGGTGATATAACGGGTGCGGGGGTCTTTTCAACAAACTTTCCCAGCTGGCGCAGACACTCAAGGAACGCCACCATGCCCGAGTCAAAGCGACGGTGAAGCCAAGGAAGGTTGAGCGGGAGATCGCCGGACGAAAACAGGTCTAATTGCGTCACTTTAGGTGCAGCTCCTTCGACGGGCTGACCGGACGGCTGCGTGGGATATTCAATCTTGTCAATCCGGGAGTTAGATCCCAGCGGCCTGAGACGATAGCCCTGGAATTGAAATCCGAGTTTCTCGGCCATCGTGGCCAGAAGTAGGGCTGTTTGCCCCCAGGCAGCATTTATTTCAGGCCAGTCAACAGAAGGATTGGCCAGCCGGCCCAGCCGTAGTCCATTGATAGTACCGAAATATCCATCGTGACCAATGCAGAACGCGTCATTGTAGACATTCGTCCGTTGCAGTCTCTCAAGCTGCTGGGAGTCATGATCATAACGCATATTGAGCGCATCCCGTTCGTTTTGAAACTCCGTCAGCGTCAAGGCAAACGCATTGCGAGACCGCCAAAAGCTCTCCTCGTCAGCATCTAGACGGCGCGAGTCGATCTCTAGGCTTGCAATCTCTGCATCTAGAGCAGCCTTTTCTTTTTCCAAGGACTGCAGCTCTGCGAATGCGGCCCGCTCCGCTTCAAGGCTCTCATCTAACGATTTCTGTGCCGCCTGCAGCTCCTCCTCGGTCGGGATTGACCCATTCAGGTTCCTAAGAAATGAGATGTAGGCATCTCGCTCCTTCGTAGATCCAGCTAAGCGCTTTTGTAATCCTTCCACAAGCAGCTCAGTGCATTCCACGCAAATAGGATGGTCGATATCGGAGCGCGCCGAGACTATCTCAAAGAGCCGTGTTGTCTTCTCCACTTGATCAACGAATGACCCATCCTCCTGGCCACGGGGTTGGGCTTGTGTATGGTTTCGTTTGCTTCGAGCAGGCGCATAACTCTCACTGACCGGGGCTGGTGTGACTTGAGACTCAGTGAGCATCACGAATGACATATTGCCGCTATCGGCTCGGGGTGTTGCTGGGTTGTGCTGGCCTCCTGCACGCGGGGCTGGGATAGAGCGTCTGTAAACTGGCGGCGTAGCATTTTTAGACGCCTGGTCATACTTGTCGCGATGTTCGGGCGGGTATGACGATCGCGCTGACGATGAGGCAGCTCCGGTATCTGACAACGTCTTGCCTGTAGAGTCTAGACCGAGCTTGATTAGCGGGATCGGACCGATCGCCCTGTGAGAACTTACTGGACAACAAGTCAAAGGCAGCTGGGTTGAGTGACTCTACTGAGCCATCTAGTTTCAGCGGCGTGCGACACTTCTGGCAATACATGGTGGTTGTTAATTCATCCCGGGGGCTGTGGGGAGTGGAGAGTCGGGGAGCTCCAAGGGAGCTTCGGGGAACGTCATTTTGGTTTGTTTTTCCCTTCGCATATTTGCTCGCGCTTGCGCCTGCACATCTCAATTTACCTTTACAATCAACAGTTTTGTTGCTAGATTTAATTATGCGTCATTCAACTACGCGCTCGACGTCCCATCACTTCTAAGGCACGCGCCTATCGATTCTTATCCGCTACCATGAACGATCCAGACGGCAACATGGACCGCTCCATGCAGGACAATATGGAACGACCAACGAAGAGACCATGTCTATCATATACCCCCGACGACGATGAAGAGGTCCCCGCAGAATTTGATCTTTCGGCCGCGCGCGCACAGAATGACTCGCGACTGAAATCTCTCTTCGAAGGCATTTTCGCGAAATATAGCCAGGACTTCACCGACGTTGGCGATGAGATTGACCTGCAGACTGGGCACATTGTGGTAGACAATGGACATCTCCTGGGCATGCGGGGCGAGCACGACGCTGGTGGCCAGCCGCGATCATGGCTCTCACAGGGTGACCTGGATGGGCCGGAAGACCCTGATGCAGACGATGACAACACGAAGGAAGAGGAGGATGAATTCTTTTCTGTGGCATCTTCTCCTGGTGGTCGTTCTTCGAATGCTCCACGTGAAGAGTCGCCATCGAAACAGCTCCAGACAGACATGGATACCTCCTTGGATTTCGTGTTTACTTTCAAAGCCTCTGGGACTGCAGGGCTCAGTACTACGACCAAGGAGGAACATGTCTCCCATCCTACCAATCCTATAACTTCCAAACCGCAGGATCCCCTCTGGGCAGTCCCAGACTTGCCCCCATCTTTCTCAACGCCTACCGCCGAGACCCGCAGATCAAACGTGGGCTTTTCTCCACCGGCAAGGTCTCCGTCCCCGCCAGGGAGCGGCTCCGTCTGGGCTGTGCCCAGACCCCGTAAGCCACGCACAGAAACGAAACCCAAGGCCACGCCCAGTAAGCGCCGACCAGCCGCGAAGCGCAAGTACCACTCTAGCCCAGTGACGCACGACTGGTCTTTTGCGGCAGTACCAGATGGAAACGAGTCAGATGACCCTTTGCAGGACTATGAGCCATCGCCGACACCATCGAAAGTGAAAATTATCCGCGGGAAGCGCCACATTCCGACGAAGGAGAACGATGGCCCATCCACTCCTTCGAAGCAGCCAGATCCTGTCATTGAAGTCGATGATCAAGAAGGGGGCTGTGAAACGAGAGACCAAGAGGATGGACTGTCTGATGCGCGCCTCGAAGGAGATTGCTGCGAATCGAGCAATCAGATAGACGAAGGGCCTAAAGCATGCCCCAAAGATGGGGGCTGCGAACCGAGCCAACAAGAAGACGGAGTGCCTGAAGAACAACTCCAAGGAGGCTGTGGACCAAGTGAGCAAGAAAATGAAGCGCCTGGAGCAGAATACAAAAACGAGGTACTATTTGATCCTATGGTACAAGGCGATTTAACCCCCAAGACCACGGCTAGCAACCTGGCCCCATCGCCGCACCCCATGGAAAACACCCCAAGCAAAAGGCGGCCCATGACACCCGATGAAGCAAAGTTGATCGTGTGCATGATGTACAAACAGGAAAAGAAGGCCAGCGACGTGATGCACATGTTGCCAGGTCGCGAATACCAGACAGTTTGGCACTGGTTCTACAATCATTGGACCCGCCGCCTCGCCAATCCGCCTCCCCTTTCCACCGCCTGGTCGCAGCCTGAGTTGGCAACTCTGTCCAGACTGAGCACCCAATCAGATCTTACCTGGGGTCAGATACAAAGTCGATTCAAGGGCCGATCGCGACATGAGGTTGAGTTCGAGCTGCTGCGTGCTTTTGTTGGCGAGGGCTTTACCTCTGCCATGATCGAGAGCATTGAGGAACAGCCGGAGCCGGAAGAGCAACAACAGGACGAAGAAACGCATGACGATGAGATAAAGGATGAACCAGAATCCGAAGCAGCCGTGGAGGAAGTAAATGATGAGGCAACGGATAGCGCAGGAGATAGCAGTGCTGCGTCTGAAGACACTGCCCAGGAAGAGCTTGAGCAGCTTGGCATTAAACAAGTGACAAAGACAACCGACAGTAAGCCGTCTGCTCCAAACAGCTTCTTGGGCATTTTTATAAACTCCTGAAATGGTGATTGGGTGCAACCGAATTATACTAATAGGGGGCCAGTGATCGATGATCGATAGATCTATCCACATCCATATTCATAATCATGACTACCATACCATACTCAATTAATCTATCTATTGAAAGTCTTCGTCCCGTGCATTCATAACATCCTCAAGTTTCGTATCAACAGCACCACCGACATCACCCGCCTTGGCCCAGAACCGAGACAGATGCCGTGAGCCAGAGTCAGAGAGTACCGTGACAATCCGGTGACCAGGGCCAAGCTTCCTCGCTGTCTTGACAGCTGCGATACCTAGAATCCACCATTAGTAAACCACAGATGTACTAGGCAAAGAGTTGATAAACCCACAGTTCACTGCACTGCTACTCCCAATAAAGATCCCATCCTTCTCAACCAGCCACCGAGCCATAGCCAAAGCCTGTGCATCAGTGACACGCACCGCATCATCAATCATCTCTTTTCCAGCCTCGAAATTCGCCGTGACACGGTTAATCCCAATCCCCTCAACGATGGTATCAACCTGACGACGACGGCGCGTCCCCTCCCTCTCTTTCACATCAAACATAACACCATAGACCACTCGATTAAAAAGCCCACTTCCCTGCGGGTCAGCCAGCACAACGGTAAGTCTGGGCAGCAAGGGCTTCAAGAATCTCGCGACGCCAGAAATGGTCCCACCCGTGCCGGCGCCCGCTACAAACGCATCAATCCGGCCCCCGCACTGGGCGTACAGCTCTGGGCCGGTCCCTTGGTAGTGAGCGCGCCAGTTAGCTTCGTTCTCAAATTGGTCAGCGAAAAAGCCCCGGCCACGGGTCATGCGGTCGTTTGCCGCGGGGAGATCGGATTGCTCTTCCGCTGACGCAGAGGGGATGCCCGATGAGGCCGTGTGCATCTTTGCCAGTGCTCGTGCGCGATTGACAAAGTTGTCTTTCTCCACTATTGGAGCTGGCGGAACCCGGTCCACTATTGCCCCGAGTTTCAGGAGGAGGTTGGACTTTTCAATTGCCTGGTCGGAAGGCAGGCAGCTGGGTTGCATGTGCATTAGTAGTGGTTTTGTTATTGGGTGAGACACCAGGGTGGCGTATGCGTACATGTGTGCTAGGTAGCCCTTGGCCCGGGCTAGTGTTGCTAGTGAAATACCGGTTGATCCCGACGTCCCTTCGTAGATTGTGTCGCCTGAATGGGGCGTCAGGATACCTTGTTCTTCTGCCTGGTTGGAGTCAGTGAGATTGGGCTGGTGTGGGGAATTTCTTACATACGATCTCAATCATGCTTAGTGCCACTCGGTCTTTTGAGCTCTGGCCGGCGCCATTTAAAAACTGCGGCGTTGTTAGCGCATTGTTAGCTCGTTTTCGAGGTGGTTGGTATACGAAGTACCAAGGCAACACATACCTCTGCTTTGCCCAGAATCTCACATCCCGTTTCATCTGAGAGTGACTTGATCCGGAATAAAGGGGTATTCCCAATGCAGCCTTCAATGCCTTCCACAATACTGGGCGGGCCAGGTCGGGCGACGAGGCCACTTGTCGGTGATATTTGCTCTGTCACATTATCCTCATGGCTGGGACGTGAGAATTCTTGATATGCGAATGCCAAGCAGACGCCGGCCACGAAGGCTGTGCCAACATACGCCGCCGAATGATCTGGCATCTTCTAAAGCCGTTTTATGCCTTGAGGATTGAGGTTGTGCATAGACGGGAGATATGAAGCTCGGACCATCAGGCTCCTTTGGTGGAAGATGAGAATCAGGGTGTACTTTGTTGACGAAAAAGAATATTAAAAACCAATTCAAAGAGTTCTCTTTTAAATCAGCTTATTGTTGGCTTCAAGTACCTTGTAACCTCCAAAGTGTCGTAGAAATCGAAGGTGATGAGCTTTGCCTTATGCACGTGGTCCCATGCCTGAGGCTAGAAAGGTTATCCGGAAACGCCGTTCTTCTTCCCCGGAACAACATTGAGCTTAGCTCTGCAATGACAATGGACTCGCCAGTCCTTACCCAGCTGTTCCGACAGCTCTTCCGCCATCCAGCATGTCGGTCATTAAGGCGGTCACCTTCCGTACTTGCTCGACCACAGTCCCGATCATTTCTCACGCGGCGCACACCTGTCAACGTGAAGCGCAAACCGCACGATGATATCCAGCTCTGGACAAAACGAGGGGATTACCCCAAGAACATTGATGAGGAGTACAGGAAGTACCCAACGGTGACAGCGAAGGAGCTACGCAACCGCCGCGAACGGCCGCGGCAGGTGAAGATGCTGACGCGAGAGTTCATCGATGGTGAGTTTGGCGGCTAAGTGAAGCGAGACTAGGTCTGACATTGTGCATTTAGACAGCCTCTACAACCCGCATTATGGATACTTTTCCAAACACGCGACCATTTTCAGCCCCGGAGAGCCATTCGACTTCAACAACATCGAAGACGGGCCCGCGTTCCACAAACTCCTTGGTGAACGCTACACGGAGTTTGAAGACAAGCTCGATGCGACGAACCCTGATATCGCGCGACAGCTGTGGCATACACCAACAGAGCTCTTCCGCCCATATTATGGCGAGACCATTGCGCGGTATTTGGTATCAAACTACAAGCTGACCCTGTACCCGTACCACGACCTGATCATCTACGAAATGGGTGCAGGAAATGGCACAATGATGTTGAACATTCTGGATTTCATCCGCGACACCGATTACGAGGTGTATCAGCGCACCAAGTTCAAGATCATTGAGATCTCGCCCGCACTGGCGGATCTACAGTACAAGAATTTGACCGACAAGCTCAGTGCCAAGGGACACCGGGACCACGTCGAGATCGTAAATCGGTCAATCTTCGACTGGGACACATACGTTCATTCCCCGTGTTTCTTCCTGGCCCTGGAGGTTTTCGATAACTTCGCCCACGACACCATCCGCTACAAGCAAGGCACCGAAATGCCACAGCAGGGTGGTGTGCTAATCGATGCTGACGGCGAGTTCCACGAGTATTACAACAACCAGCTCGACCCAGTCGCAGCTCGCTTCCTGCGCGTTCGCCAAGCTGCCGCCCGTCGTCCTTTCCCAAGTCCCTTGGGCCCGCCGCTCCTCCGCGGCCTCCGCTCCGCCGCGCCCTTCCAAAAGGAATACTCCCTGCCGGAGTACATCCCCACCCGGCTGATGCAGTTCTTCGATGTTCTGAACCAATACTTCCCGGCCCACCGTCTCGTCTCCAGTGACTTCAGTTCCTTGCCAGATGCCGTGCCCGGGGTCAACGCGCCGGTCGTGCAGACTCGATATCAGCGGCAGACAGTGCCGGTGTCGACTCCTTTTGTATGTGGATATCTTATACGATGTAAACTTCGAATCTAGCTAATTGTTCTTTGCAGGTCCACCAAGGCTACTTCGATATCTTCTTCCCGACGGACTTTAATGTCGTCGAGGATATGTATCGTGCTGTTACAGGGAAGCTGACGCAGGTTACGAGCCATGAGGAGTTCGTGCATCGTTGGGCTTACATTGAGGATACGGAGACGCGGAATGGGGAGAATCCGCTGCTGAGCTGGTATAAGAATGCTAGCATGTTGATGACTGTGTAGATATAGACCTTGATGTCAATACCATTTAACCATGCCTTGTTGGCTCTGCTTGCCGCATACGCTACTTTTTTCTATGGGAATGTAATTTTGTGCCTGGAAAACACGTTTTGCTGAATAATGATCTAACCAGACAAAAGACGGGAACTACCAACTCAAATGCCTCGGTGAAATGCTGAGTCCCATTGCACATTCTAACTACGAAGGCTTCAGGAGTGAAATCATCATCCCGATTTGAACGTTGGAGCCATCATACATGTAGATTATGATAGACGGGGAAGTCCCCCCCCTAACAGCGAGTCGGTAGCCTCAAAAGATCGAGACGCGAAACATGATCTCGGACGGTAAGAGGCTACAGACACCGTATCAAAGGCCTGCTCATGGGAGTGTGGTGGAGATTGCGACCATCTTAAGATATTTGTCTGGCAGGCAATTGGGAGAAATTGCGAGGCACAGCGGCTTTCCCAGAGTTGACGATGAATATAAAGCAATAGACCAACTAAAGTAGGGGCGAAATACCATGATAGACCCTCCTATTAGGCTTAGATGACTTGATGCATTGAAATGATGATAGAACATTCGGATTGTAGATGAATAGATGGTTGATGAAATGGTGAAGAGTAGAAAGAAGTAAACAGATACAATTCCTGGGGGCTTTTATAGTCAGGTAAACAACCCCAAACAGGAATAATCTGACCAATTTCGAAGGTATCTCAACAATCCGGGACATTTGCCTCCTTGTTCTGAGGAATCAGAAAAACGCTATTAGCGAGGTCAGTGATATCTTCGACCCCAAGCTCCCCGAGGACATTGAGCATCTGCTCGACGGTACTCCGCCCAACCCCCTCCTTATTCCGAGGGTAGATATCAATGCCAGCAGAAGTGAAGATTATTTCACCAAAGTACGTAACAATCCACTGATTATCATTCATCAGCCAGCCTTTGCCGCGCCAATCCCTCGCGCCGGGTTACCTTGCGTTGGGGTGTCGACGCAATGGACGGATTTGATTTCCTCAGAGCCACTGGTTTGGTAGTGCACCAGGTTGTCGATATTTCGCACCCTGACAGAGTCTACTGGGCGTAGCGAGTAGGTGATGTTGACGTTGCGCTTGCCTTTCCACGGGGGAGGCTGGAGTAGGTTATGTGCCACGTCCCGAGGATGAACTCGGTTGGTGGGATGCACGTCGCTCCTTCGATAGCATGGATGTGTCGAATGGAGATAGAAGACATGCTTGTCGAGCGTGTGTTGCCATGGTTTATGAGGATGTCCAGAGGGTTGATGTCAGACCTTGCTGGCCCCATACTTGAAGCGGTGTTATCGTCGATCCACACAAATGGTGGGCAAATGGGAATTAAAACTTGATCAAACAAAAATGTAGGGACCAGTAGGCCTCGATAAGGAGTCAATGCGGCTACCTCATGCTAGGAAAGTAAAACAAACATCGATTCATTCAAGCCTGCAAAGAGCAGGATTGTGGCGATACAGAACGATAGACATATTTCATTTTCATAAGCCCCCTGCTGTGCTTCCTTTCAATTCAACCTCCTTGACACAACCAAGCAGCTCAGCGTTTCGCATTAGCAGAAAATCGGGTGTGACGGGGCCAAGTCGGGGTCATCCCGATATCGTTGTTCTGTAAAAAGGTCGGGTGAGAAAAGGCAGTTTGGCCAAATATAGGCTGGGAGAACATAGGCTTGGGAGACGCCGAACGAGCGAAGGCTGGCTGGGCAAAAGTGTGCTTCGTCTGAATGGGATCTGTGGGAACAGGCCTCGTATTGGGGACGCCAGATCTCGGTCCTGCCGGAGTTCGTTTGACCCTATTCAGTAATGAAGCGTCTGGAGCAAGATGACAAGCTCGTCCATTGGCAAGAATATTCGTTGTAATGTTAACATTGTTCATAGTGACACGTGAGTGCATTGGAACGCCTGCCTTGCTATGGAGCCCACTGAGGGCTGTATCAAGCTGAGTGAGTATAGCAGCATTCAGTGATGTCGAAGTCGCCACCGGCGTAGGGTCGATCACAGGAATACTGATGCTGACGTTGTCAATGATTGTACGCAATGCACGGCGCTGTTTTCGCCACATGTGTTCAGGGACGAACAGCCGGCAGTGACGCCACGAGTGGCCGATTTCTGCACATTTCTTACAGAATGCCGTACAGACCCCAGGATGCCTCCTGTCGCAGTGGTAGCAGCGGGGGAGGCATATTCCCGGGTGGGACCTCGCTCCACAGTCCTGGCAGAAGGGTGGTGGCCTGTACCTCGGGTGGTAGTCGTCCTGGTCTTCATCTTCATCAACTCTGGCACGCTTTTTTCCAGTGCTGGAGATTCCCTCGTTAGCAGATGGTCTTGTGTGGATGCACTCCACTCACATGGGGTTCATTGTGACTGCGCTGGAGAGAGGAGAAACAAAAGAAAGAATAGAAGGTGATGAGGGAGTTCATGGACTTGGACAACCCAAAGGAGGAAGGAACAACTTTGTCACATGACGGACATCAAGCCAAACGGGAAGGCTCTCATTTTCCATGTAAGAGGAGAGCAATGAAGTAAAGGGTGAAATTGATATAAAGGAACTCATGCGGCAAACCGACTCTATGACTTAAAGTTTGGATATCAGCCGAGCTCATCATGTCTACAAGATACTCCAAATAACGGGGTAAGTGACACTCTCACCTAGAAATCAATACTCTAAGCTGAATTGATTGTCATAACACAAGCAATAAGGAACTTCTATGGAAGCAACCGCCAGTGGAATGTCAAGTGTAAGCTGTTTATACGAGAATATTACTTGGCTCGGTTCATTTAGCTATGGAAAATGCAAATTTTGGACTATTGAACGTGTTCATAGCAAGCAAGATGACGATACAGCGAACCCTTTTCATGAACAGTTGACACTCCTCCTGGCATCAATTTCCCTGAGCTGAATTTTCTGATTGCCGTAACATACACGCATCCAGAAACTTCTGTGGAAGTAACGCCAGTCGTAGATCGTTTCCTAGGACTAATAGTAGACTCGCTGCTGCATCACGATATGCCGAGCTGAATGTACACCAGAGAGCATTTTCAGGTTCAAGGTCCAGTGATGGACGAGGGTAATATGGGTCGTTTTACTAGAATGCTTCCACGAGATGAGCTACCAAGTCATCCGGCCTTTTTAAGTCCCATTCGTTCTTCCCATATATTGCACAAATTGAAATCTAGAACCCAGACACGACTTGTTCGGCGCTGACACTTGGCACGTATCAGATTTCAATGTCTGTGTGAGGGGGACATCTTCATAACCTGTTCTGCGCTAAGTCCCAACGAACGAGAAACATCTTGATACGTTGTCTCACCTTCACTGCCTAGCACAAATTCAACGTCGTAGCCATCAAAGTTTGCTGACCAATGCATGATCGCCAAGGCCTGCCCCATAGCCCTGGCATATGTCTGAATAGGTAGATTCAGTGAAGATATAAATGTGACAGGCAGTTGAGTCCATCCAGGTGAGGAAGCCCTCAGCATTAGCCCTGGCCGCATAGCCGAATCTCCTGAGGCTGATTCGACTCGTCGAGAATTTCAAGCTGCGCACGTACCAACAGCTTGAATCGGAGATGGTCGCTGCTGGTCGATGGTGCACCATCGTCATTGGGCTCTATGTTACTATACCTATCTCACGAATACGAGAACTTCGAATTGTCTATCCGCAATTCCCCATGCCCATTTCTCCAGTTGAACACATTGGACCTCCGCATGGGCCAAGCTAGCATTGCTTTCCATGCCCGGACTCCCATCGCAGGCGCATGTGCCCTCGCTGGACAGAGGACAATGAAATCCGAAAGCCGGGTGTCAAATCTTGAAACTACACATAGATATCTGAAGAAATTGTTGCATTTAGTTATCAAATACAAGAGCCCTGGCAGACTTCAGGCCCTTTTCATCCAGTTGATCAATGATTCCCTCAAGGTAGGCAATATCAACCTGATGCCTAGAGCCCAGTGACTTGTATGCTTGGTATGCCATCTGGAGCGGGAAAATTGTAGATGCTGGTCCAAAAAGTCTCATCTCATCTTGTAGTAGGTAGACCATACTCAGAGATATATTTTTCGCAAGTACGATCAATTGGTCTTGAATATGATCGTCATTCTTATCAAACTGCCCGGTCCAGACTGGCTGCTCTTGGTCACTGCCAGGGAAATGCGTCTTGAATCTCTTCAGTTCGGAGAGACAAACAATCCGGAAGGCCCACAGGTGGGTAAAGACATTGGCCATGGTGACATTGGGGTACCAAAAAGGAAGTGAACGTGTATCGTCAGTGGTCCTTGATTCTACTTGCGACACATAACCGCATCGCCAATAACAAGGTTGGTCGCCTTTCTGCAACTCCATTTCCCATTCGTCAAGGCGAATAAGTACGTTGATGAACGAACCGGGTATCTTGTTGATATCAGACAAATGGCACTGGGCTGGGCTTCCTAGGACGCAGTCGCTTTGGTGGAGCAGGGCGGGAAGGATGACAGCTTCATTAAAGAGGCTTTGCATAAGTGATGGGCAGAAATGAGAGAACGGGGTATCAATCCATGGTTTCGATGCTAAAAATGTAGGCTGGCGGCTTCGGAACGCCTGCATTGCCTATATCAAGTTCAATACCCATACGCTAAAAGATCAGAGTGGCAGAGGACAGACCAGAAGAGGTCGAAAACCGACGAACAGCTTATGTAGTAATCCGGAACTACACATGCTCGGTCCGTGGGCTTGTAGTAACATGCCTACAGCCTGGACGTGTGATAATATAGCGGCGACAGAGTCTGGAATCATAAGCTTTGACGAGTTAGAAAGCGCGCAGATAAAAGACGGACAGAGAGAATAGTACCTCCACCAGCGTAAGACACATGATAGCTGGTATCTGTTCAATACTAAGGGAACGGCGCTTCAAGCCAAAGCTTTGTCGGAGTGTGTGGATTGCCACGTCGTAGGTCTGGGAGCGAGTTATGTCGGACTTGCTGGGCTGAGATAGTAGTGAAGTTGCCAATGCTGTGACCGCTCTCGGAAGAACCAGACTGGGAGTGTTCAGGCATGGAAGGCTCGGCAGCACTTCAACCCAAGACCCGCAGATTCGAGGCTCAATATAGTCCGAGTTGCACATTTGTGAAACCCGTTCATTTTGGGGAACATAACTTTTTGTTATCAACTCTGTGAAATTACATACGATGAGGGGGTTCAGATAGACCTGAAGGGGTATAGGTCCGGTTGGCGAGTCTTCTTGTCGATCGGCACCCAATACTGTCTCTTGGCCTTCCTTTTGAACAATTCTAGCTTGGTTGTGTTGCTCTGAAGTAGACGAGCTCATCGGAGTGTGTGATATAAATTTCCACTCTGTTCGATAGCCATCGCATGTGTGACCCGAAAGGACACATTGGCTGCATCCTGGGCGCTTCCCATCGCACTAAAATCATAAGAACGTCAGTGGTCCAATCCCAATGGCAAATGATGTGAGCACATACCCCTAGCTTCCGGTTTCTACAGTTCTGGCAAACAGACTTCTGCTTGACTTTCATTGCATTTGTGGAGCTCGTGATGAATTATTGAACATCCGAAGAGACCTTGGAGGCGTCCACGCCGAAAGCTATGACGTAAGAATGTCTTGGCGGAATATGCATCCAAATCGGGGTGCCCCGCTTTTTCTTTTAACCTACTTTGCACATCTGTTTCAGGGTATACAACATACCCAGTTGAAGAATCGACAATATTGGGATTTATCAGGTGTACTTCGAGTACAGCAAGTTACTTCTTTGAAATCTAACGTTGAAAGTCTAATGGTAGAAAAATTCATGGGTACTGATCTGCTTTCCACTTTCGTCGTATCTCCTAGGAATCACAACTGAGACACCATCGATGCCTCGAGGCTCGTAGTCCAGATTCCGGGCAGCATATGTAAGAATCTCCAGTCCGAATTGCTCCTTGAGCCAGCATGCAACCATATCCATTCCCGCAACAGCACCAGCTCCAGTCCAGATATTCTCGTCGACGACCCATTTCTTTTCCTTAGTCCAGTTGACGGCAGGATAATTCTCTTTCGCCCATTTATACCCGGCGTGGTTGATAGTCGCGTTCTTTCCATCTAGAAGTCCCGTGGACGCAAGTACGGCAGAGCCAGTGCAAGTCGTAAAAAGCAACTTTCCAGCATTGACATGTCGACGGATGAGATCCACGTATTTCGGGTGCAACTGGAAGCCATCGGGATTCGGACCCCCTAGCAAGATGATATCGAGCTCGGGACACTCGTCCACCGTTGTAGTCGGGGTGAGGGTAATGGCACTAGTGAATAGGTGGAAGGGCTTTTTCGTGATGCCAACATGGTGAAAAACGAAGTCTGGAGCACGAGAGATAGCATCATCGCTGATGGGGCCAAACATTTTGGACACTTCTAAGAATGCAGAATTGGCGGATTGAAGGAGATCGATTGGGCCGACAACATCAATCGCCTGGTAGTCATAGACCAGAATACCGAGGTGAATAGGCGCCATTGCAAGCACAAACAGGATGCGAGTTCTAAAAAGCTAAAAAGCACAAAGTGTGTGATAAAATCGCAACATGCTTGCTCGTCTTCTATAGATTTTCAAGGCATTTTTACACCCCTTAAGTACTACTAGTAGCACATTTGCCGGGAAGCATCGGATGTCGAGTACGTTTTAACGCAAAGTACCGCTTACTAAAACGCTTGGCGGGTAATCTAGCTGTTCTAAGATAAAGTACCGCGCAAAGAGCGCTAGAGCAGTTCCTCTTGTAAATCATTTCCCAAAAGAATCAGGGGTGCTAACCAATTGTGAACAACATACTCCGTACCTATGATTGTCAATCCTTACAGCTACATTCTCCGTAATTGGTAGTATGAGATCTATTTTTCTATTTTGAGGCTAGCGACGATGTGATAGGTTTTAAAAATGTTTGTTAGGTACAAAATCGGGAAGTCGAGTCTCCTTCCCGTGTGGCGGGTCCAGGCTAATAGAATTTTGCAAGGTAGGATCTCAAGCTTTTCGGTTCTACGTGGACCATAAGTTAATTTAGTTGGTCTTAGGACCTACAAGATATACGGAGACCCACTCGGATAAAAATAGATGATTGCTTAGACGGATAAGTAGTCTAGTAATGTTGGCGGGTTGGATATTGTGAGGATATTCAATATAAGTCGGTAGTAACTAGGCGTATTCGGACTTAATGAGTTGAGGAGTCATCGTCAGTCTAGAGCTTGATAGTGTAATTTTAGGGCTCGAGTATAGTCTTCTATAACTCATACGACGGTTTCATTTTCGTAGAGAATCTGCATTCCGGAGTCGAGTATATAGGGAAAGTTACCGAGAGGTTCAATGGCATTAGTGGGGCAGCCGTTAGTTATCCAGACAGACTCGAGCAACCGCTCTGCGAGGGCAAAATTGTCTGCGTAACCGAGTCGATACTAGATAGGTAGCGAAGACCGTGAGAGAGAGGGCTACTACGAGCTTTCTTATTCTTCTTTCTGAGAAAGCTCCTATGGTAGTTTACCTGGAGATGAGATGCCGTAAGTTTGAAGACGACGGGATATTAATTAGCGACTGATTTTCTTGGGCGATTGCTGAAGCATAGGGGCTGAGTATTAATTCAGACCCTTGAGTGGCACATCTTGTTCAAAGATGAGTCCGAAGTTGGCTAGGCCAAATTTCCGATAGCGCTATCCTATTAGGAAGTTCCGTAAAGGAGCATGTTTCATTTCGTACCCGAATTTGCTCCCGAGATATCTCCATTTCACCTACTTGTCTCCGGCCGCGACAAAGAATATCAGTCTCGTGGTGGCCTTTGATACTACTGGCATCGCAACGCGGGAGCAATAAGTCGGTGCCTAGTTTATATTTGTCCGAACTTTCGCCAGCCTACGTGGGGCACGCTTGTTTGAATGAGTGTAGATTAGAATGCAGGCAGTCTGCTTGAAACACCAGAACTGGTCGAGTTCAAGACATAGCGAATGGTATCAAACCATGCGTGGCTAGTCGCCATCTTGCGGATTATTTATAGATAAAAGTGTTACAGAAATTGTCCGCATACATCGTAATGGCCAAATGGACATGCTTATATGGAGACAAAACGTGGGCTCTGAAGATATAAAGGACTAGTCTTGCATCGCTTGAACTGCGAATACTGCCTAGCAATCGTCAATCTTTCTTTACGCGTTTATCTAAATATCACCTTAGAGATGAGCAACCCAGTCGATGTGCACTCTATTGGTGGAATTGCCAATTTGGTAGTTCATTACCTCCGTCTTTTGAGGCATGATATTGCTCCATCTTTACTGTCTTTGTTCTACCTGCTTTGCATAGGCTCGGTGTTTTTCGACGTCATTCATCATATGCTCCACCGTTGCAACAAATCGTCTCACCCTCTTTTTCAACGTCTAGCACGTGCCCACCATTTCCACCACCTCTACTTCACACGGCACATGAATTTCGACGAAAGGTATCTTCGGCAGAATCAACTCCAAGCCTTGCCGCTTGAACTAGCAGCCCAAATCGTTGGAAGCGCACTAGGCTATATCTTTGCCAGTTTTGTGACGCCTAACGGCCTCGTGTGGTGCATAAGGAATCACCTTTGGTTTACGATTGGCTTTCAAATCCTAAGGACTTCTTTTGTCATCCTCACAAGTGGCCGCGACTCAAACCATCTCATCTACAAGACCGCCCCGAAGGACCGCAACTGGATACTTGTGGGCCCAGAGTTTCACGCACTCCATCATGTCTACCCGGATCGTTATATCAGTTCGTTTATTAAAGTCTTCGACTGGATCTGGGGTACCGCCTACTCCTTCAGACGTAAGCGTTTTACGGTCACTGAGGGAAGTGGAGCATTTATCCAAGCAATCATCACAGACCTCGAGCGTAAAGAAGGAGTAGCGTGCATTAGCAAGTTGAAATTTGGGACTGATTGGGATCATCATCACTTTGAAAAAGTGATCGCGGTCCTTTCAAACTCCGACGTTTTGATCCTGGCCCACGGCTGCCATGGCGAGGACGCAGTTGGATCAAATTGCGATTCAGCTACCCAACTTATCAAATTATTCAAGCAGTATAGAGCGACCAACCCCGCCTGCCCGACACTTCCGGAAGTATGGTACGTTGGAAGCGAGATTGAGTTCCATTCATCCTGGACAAATGTACGACTACAAGGTTGCTCTCAGTCGAAACGAAGAACGTTCCTGCCGCACGCTCGTTCCTTTTTTGATGACCCTGATATAATTTACCGCCATATCGTGCTGCCCTCATTCCCCTCATCTATGGTAACTGCTGGATTATCTGCAGACTGGGCGGCTAGGTGTGCAATGTGGTGGATCCGACGAGGTGCTAGATATATTCCTGTCACGTATACGGGAATTGCGTGTTTGGACTATTTCAAGTTTATGTATGGCGTTCCTTATGCGAACGATGCGGATCAAATGTAACTATATAACTTTCTCAGTCTGTTGAGTTTAGATATTTGTCAATAAAGTGCATGGAGTGGGAGCTTAATTGCACACTAAATGTATCGTAGATATAGCACGTGTTATTCAGAGGAGATCGGCTTGAGAAAAAACTAGCTTTCTTAAACTCGCTTTCTTTTGCATCGCTCTGCCAGAAGTGGTTGTTAAACGGCAATCATCTTCTCGAGATACTCCATCTCCTCTTCGAGAATTTCAGCGTTAATAACCTTCCAAGGTTCTAAGGTAGGAACAATTGCTCCCTTAGGTGAGCCCTTGGCGGCCCCGGGCCTTGCTCCCCCTGTAAGTTTCTACCAGCCCTTCTGTGTCCTTCTAGCGGTAATTTAAGATGCACTTAGTTCACTTGGTCGGCAGGCTCGAAAATAATCCGTTAGAAAAGGGAAATGGAGGCAGAACCTCATATTAGAGGCGTTGGTTGACAATCTATCCGCACACTTTGCATCCAGTGTAGTGTCAACGCTAATCATCGACTGTTTCCGTTTTCCAACATAACACTATACGAATTGATACTATGCTCGTAAGATTCAAGGCACTAATATACACTAGCAAAGCACTTGAAGATCGTTGCATGAGGGCCTAACCTCTAGCATGGTCAATGATGAGCAACATCCATCTTTTGCCGGTCTAAGATAACGTATCGCGCAAAGAGCCCCACAATAGTTCGAGCTCGTGTAAATCGTCGCCCAAAAGATCAGCGTCTGACTGCTAGGGAGCAGAGAGAGAAGGACTGAATTTTCTACAAACAAACGGGAGCTATCTAGATGAAGCCTGACAAATAAGGCAAACACCAGTAGCCTTTCACAACGACTTTCTACCGAATATGTATACAGAAGACCTACAAAACGGACACTGCCTCTCCTGGTTTCAGCCAACACACCTTATCCATAACGCCCTCACTCTCAAAATCTTCGCCCAGCTCCTTCCCGAACTGGGTGAAATGGCCCCACGACTCATAATGCATTGGAACCAAAACATCTGCTTTGATTTCACGGAATAACCGAGCAGCTGATTTGCCATCCATAGTAATTTGCATGAGGGGGCCATTGGGGTCCTCGAGGTTGGCAGGCGCATGCGCGTTGCCTAGGTTGACCACAGCAGCGCAAATGTGATACTCGTCCGCCATCTTCTTCAACTCGTCGATGTACACAGTATCGCCTGAGAACCAGATTGCGTTGGGAAGACCCTCGCGGCCAGTTCCGAATCCCTCACCTGTGATGATGAAGCCAGTGCATTCACCACCGGGCATATGCTGCGTCGGAGTGCCAGTGATCTGGAGTTTCCTTCCGGCGATGACAGTGTCTATCTTTTCCCAGGGCTTTAAGCCGTGAACCGCAGGTCGAGGAGAAAGGTTCTTAGCACCATCAACGGTGGTGAAGACGCGGCGGCCGTCCAGAAGGCGGCGTCCTAGCTCGTCCAGATTGTCGGGGTGGTCTTCGTGGCTCAGGAGTATGGCATCAATAACAGGGAGATCCTCCAGACGGAGAGCAGGATCGTCTTCCACGGCAAGGACAACTTTGTCGGTTATTGGCCATGAAGAACCAGCAGGTGAGAAGAAAGGATCAGTGAGCATGTTGAGACCGTTGATTTTGAGGATAGCGGTGGCGGTGCCAATGTGGGTGATGTTCAACGTAGGAGACATTTTGAACTTAGACCTTTTTTGTAACATCTGAACCGTGAGATATATTTCTTAGTATGCTGTGATCTATTGCATTCGACTTGAGGGGCTATATATGTTTAGAAAGGAAATGAGAGCAAGGGAATTAATCATCCTGACAAATTAACTAATCTGATGAATATCTGATGAATAAATGATATGATCCGATACCCGTTCACTTTCCTAAAGGGGAAACGTATCCCGCCAAGACATTTTCTACATCTGCTTTGTTACCTACTGTAGTGACTACCTAGCTTGGTCTAAGGGACTACGCAATAATTAACTAACGTTCTTCTAGATTCTATAGAAATGTAGAATTACCGCAACTAACCGTGGCGAATACTATTCTCTTAGGAAGATTGTCGCGTCGGGAATATCGCCTTCGTCGTTGGTTAACTGACAAGACCAATTATTCACTCACGAGGCTCCCTGACGTCTTCTCCCACGCCTCCAGATACAAGCACCACTGATTAATGTTTTGAGCAACTATGGAAGGTGAAGTCGGACGTCACTGTAGCATATTGCGGGCTTCGGTCGAGTTTCAGATAGGTCTAGAATCTGTTGAAACTGCTCCTCTGCGAATTTGTGAGCTATAGGATGGCTTATCATATTAGTAGTATAACCTTTGAGATATTTGAACTATGGGAGATAGAGCTGTCAGCAACAATTACTCCTTCAAGTAAGCACTTGGGGGCCTTTCCCTGACCCCCTGCAAATTTCTATACGAATTGATAAGGAAAGCACTGGACAATCGTTGTATGAGGGCCTAACCCCTAGCATGGTTCTAGGAATCAGGACACAAGGAAAGAGAGAGAGACTAACTAATCATGAGCAACATTCATCCTTTGCCACCGCGGACCTTCGACAGAAGCATGAAACGTTGACTGGAATGTCAGCAGATGCCAAAGCAATATCCCGCGCAGGTTGAATGAAAGCAGCCTCTTGGATCTTTCCAAGGCGAGTGAAGCATTCGTATAGGCCATGCAATCCCCAAACGTTGTTGAGCTTTGCCTTACGCCGAGGATAGTCCAGAGCGAAGCCAAGATCCTGCTTGAACAGCGTTTCTGCTTCTTCAACACGTCCCTGCTCAAGCAGCAGGCCACCGAGCGCATGGCGGACTGGCTGCATCCAGGCAGGCGGGTCAGTGTACGGGAGTGCATCCTCGCGCACAATGGCTTCCCGAAGGGCATGGAACGCCGTCTCAAGATTTCCCTTCCGATATTCTAATTCACCAGCAAGCATAGCAGAGCCAACTGCGAGAACATCTTCCTCCTTGCATGGAATGCTGTTGAGTCGCGAGCTCGGAACCGCCTTACGCGCCGCTTCGAACTCCTTTTGAGCGGCTTCGGCTTCTGCAATCCGCCCAAGTGCACTAAACGCAAGCCCACGGGTGTAATGGATGGTGGCTGTAGTCACGCAATATGTATCGCGATCGGTGGGAAGCTTGAGGTCAAGAATCTCCTCCCAGCGACCAAAGCGCACTAGCACGTGCGCCTTACTTCCCAGGAAGCTCTCGACGAAGTCTGCCATTGGCGGACTCTTGACGGATAGCAGGTTCGCATCAATAATCTGTTCGAGCTTTTCTGCAGCAGACATCGCGTCTGTGAATCGGCCGCTCATCATAGCGGAATACAATTTTGCACAAATGTAATGCACCCGGTAGGCTGTGTACTGAATTGTACCCGTCTCACGGGCGAAATAGATGTCGTCGGCAAGAATAGCTTCATGGTTAGAGTCGATACCACGGCGATAGTCGCCAACCGCGGCATCAATATGCGTCGGCATGTGTAACATATGCGAAGCGTGCGGAACCATGCCACGTAGTCGATCCGCAGCCGGCAGAGCCAATTCTGGAAATGGCGACATCTCCATCATGTGTATGTGCAAGTGGCAGATTGCTGGATGATCGCGACCGGCAGTTTGCTTCAGGTGTAGCTCAATCACTTCGCGTGCCTCGATTGTGTGGTCCCCGGTTGGTTTACCGGTGTTCAAGTCCCACAGCCCGCGCGGAGTAATACACATCAGTGCTTCCGCGAATAGCGCAGCCACGTCCACATCATCGCTGAATTTATGATACACAGAGCGCATCGCGTCCGCATATGCGCGGTCGAAAGGGCCCAGATCCTCGGGGATGTCATCAACTGGTGGGAAGCGACTGCCGATTGCCCCGATCAACGCTTGTTCGACTGGCGTGGCCTGGCTCGCTAGTTTGGATGCTCGGACAAGGATATCGTTGACCTTCCTGATAGAAGCCTGACGATCCTCAGGGTCAAAATACCTCCACGCCTTGTTGTAGTTGGGCCCAGTCGCATACGCAATTCCCCATAGCGCCATAGCGCAATTGGCATCGCTTTCGGCAGCTCGTTCGAAGCATCGAACTGCTTCGCCATGGTTGAAAGAATGAGCCCATATCAGCCCGCGATTGAACCACAATTGGGCTTCTGCTGACGAAGTGGTCACTGATCGACGGTATGAACCAAGGTCGTAATAGGCCTCTTCCTCAGCTTTTGGCGGGGGACTGGGTTGATCTCTAATTGAGTGTCAGTTAGAGCACAGTTAGTATTACAAATTTCATGATGAGACTCACCGCATATTGGAAGTATCGAAGTTAGCGGATTTAGTCATACCTTTATGGCATTGAGATTAATGCAGTTATTCGGAAGATGTGTGCATTTATATACCCAAGGACAATGGTTAATGATTTATCAGCCCCATATGATACCCGTGGACATATCATCCCTGCCGAGCAGCCAGTGTGCACGTGACTGCACAACTTCGATCTGAGGTTAGGCGGGATACCGAACCAACATGCAATCGATTATTTTTCGAAGGTTCCACAACCTTTCACCTGGTGGGTCTGAGTGGCGTTTCCCGGTCCCCACCCTGTCCTAGAATGGTTAGATTACCCGCCAAGACTCGATTTAATGACGCCACTAGACGTGGAACATCTATGGATGCACGATGCTTTGTCTTTGGCTGACTCAAGATCACGTTCAAATAATTGCAAAAGTTGCTTTGTGTTTTGCCGAAGGTAGATCCCGCTGGTAGAATGAAGACAATTGCCCATTTGCTTTGTCGTCAGCTGGCCTCCCTTTTCTCTTCCGAATTTGGGAGTGATAACTTAAGATGTGTGATGCCTGGTCTGTGAGGCCACCAACGGGTGACAGGACCAGACATCTAGCTCTCTCTCTCTCTCTCTCCCCCTCTCTATTTCTTTTTTCCTTCTGCCTTTTCTTCTCTCTCTCCGTGGGCTTAGCTCGGAATGCAACAGTCTTTCTCCATGATCATCCCTGCGTAGCCTTCCCAACATAAGACGACAGGGGCCCACCGCAAAGTTGAATCAAGGGTAAACATTTTTACCAGGGTAATTCCTGGCCGATGATGCTTAACCATTGATCGATATGTATCTTCCGGCAGAGATAATTGACCTTGTATGATTTGTACCGGTCCAACCCTGCGCCACTACCGAACAATCTCTAGGGTTTTATGTGGCGATGGCACTTCGCGATCTTCTTCGAATGCATCGGCTGCTCGGGCGTTTCGGATAGCGAATGGCAGGAGCCGGAAGAACTCGGCTAGACTCCGCTTTGGTCAACAAAAGCTTTTGTCATAGTGCCTCAGCCCGTCTTTTCCGACACATTATAGCTGTAGCCGATTCGACATACAACGCCACGCAGTTGCTAGCTTTAGGAAGACTGGTGAGCCTTTCCAACATCCCATACTCCCAATATGTACGCAAGTCGGCATTGGATACGGTTCCTCCCCATGTTCGATAGAAGAAGCTATATTATATACGGAAGAGCTTGCCGCCTTCCTGTCTTCATGCTTGCGTCAATTTCTCAATCTCAAAGCTCTCGACTTCCGCGGTCCGCCATTGGTGTCCTTGCCTCATGATAAGATGAAAGCATCGACTCGATACTCATGTCATTATGCTACGTGCCTCTGGCCAATTTGACAGAAATTGAAATTCAGTTACCAATGACGAACGATTTTGCTCCATTATTTGCCGAGAATACCAGCACATTGCGGATATCGATTGAGCAGACTCTATCATGTTGCATTTAAAAACCTCGAACAAATGGTAAAACTGAAACGAGCAGTGGCTCGGCGTATCAGCTGTTGAATCAGGCCCTTTTTTTGTATGGTATTTGAAGGTCAAACGTGGAGAATGAAGGGAGATCGACAGTCCCTGGTGGATGTTTTACTCTAGGTATCTATGTATCTATATGACATTGACACATCTGTTGGAATTGGATAGATGAGTGAAAAATCTTCGCTTATGGAGTTCCGTCTGAATCAATTAGGGACAGAAGAGGGAAAATACAGGGGGGAAAAACATAAAGCACAAAGAGGGGCCCATTGGGTCGCAATGTTGAGAGATTCACAGTTAAAAAACAACTTTGGAAACGCCAGGAGCTGTCCAGCACACTCTGTCCAAAAATCCCTCTTGCTTGAAAACCTCCATCAACTCTGCCCGGCCCTCCTTGAAATGATCCCACGATTCAAAATGAATTGGGACCATGACATCGGCGCCGATATCACGGGCAAGCTGAACGGCTTGTTTACCGTCCATTGTAATCTGAATAGGGCCAGTTGGGAACTCAAAGGTGGCATTGCCTAAGTTGAAGATGGCTGCAGTAATGTGCCATTTCTTTCCAATTTCCCGTAGTTCATCAATGTAGACTGTATCTCCAGAGAAGTAGATTGCATTGGGCTTGCCGGATGAATCAACGCCGAAGGAATCGGTCTCTAGGATGAAGCCCGTAACTTCTCCAATTGGGAAGTGCTTGCAAGGGGTACCAGTAATTCGGTACATTTTTCCTCCAATGCACGACGTCACAGTCTCCCAGGGTCGAAGGCCAACGACTCCTGGGCGAGGACGCAAGTTGTTGGCACCGTCCACGGTGGTAAACACCTTTCGACCATCCAGCAGCTTGCGGCCTTCTGGGTCCAAATTGTCAAGGTGATCCTCATGACTAAGAAGTACAGCATCGATAGGCGGCAGCTCATTGAGCTGAAGCGCTGGACCTTGCTTGTTGACAAGGTGCGGTGGTGGCGGAATACTGTCGAAACCGAACGCTTTCAGGTCCATTTGTTCCCAGACCGCGGTCGAATCATACTCTGTCCCTTCGATGGCCCCAAAGAAGGGATCTGTCAGGAAGTTGACTCCATCAATGTTAAGAATGGCAGTTGCAGTGGTGATGTGTGTGATTGTAAGGGTGGGTTTGGATGTTGCTGCCATGGCTGCGGTAAAGAGTGCAAGTCGAGAATAGAAATTTTTGATCTGATCAACGGAATGGAATATTAAGGCCCCCTGTTCAGGAGAAACGGGGGTTTAAATACGTTGCTGTTCTGAAAATATTAGAAATTCTGTTTCGTTCTCCTGATGATGTAAGTTCGGCTCATCCCACCCGCAGGCTCATCCCACCTGACGTGAAGTTCCATTTTGCCACGACAAGAGAAATTTTGTAATATATCCTGGATGTTTATTCAGCCCAGTGATTTCCAAGGTTTCTCTCTAACCAATCCATGGATCTATGGATTGCCACTTCCAACACAAAAAGCTTGGCGGACAACCTAGCCGTTTAGGGGTTAACATGGTGGGGACAATTCAAGATCACTAGGTGGGATGTCGAAAAATGTTCCGCAAAGCGTGCATTTTGTGCATTGAATTAGAATATCTGCTGGATATATGATCTTCGTAACTGTTATCTGCTGAGTTATTAAGCTTACTCCGAGTAAATCTATTCATATCCCGCTGCAACTACGAAAAGAAAAAGGACGTGCTCTAGACTCTATACCCAACTGTATCTTGTCTAGTCGAGACATCTTATCTTATAAGATTCCCACAAGTCTACCGGTTCAAAGAGATGAATTTTGGGATGTTGTTATAGAACGACCTATAATAGAGGTCGATTTGCACCTTGAATAAACATAAAGCACATATAACATTCTTCCAAAGGAGTTTTCTCAAGCTATCTGCAATTTTTCTACCTCTTTGATAAAGGGACTCGCCTTTCGAATTCTGTGTCCGTAAAAGTAGAAGACAACAGGTATCAAGATGCATAATGCCTCCACAATTCCCAAAATTGTACTTGCCCAATTCAAGCCCAAAACCTTATACATTGATGGACCCGCAAGCGGGAGGAATGCCCCCATGACACTGCGAGTGAGCATATTTCCTGCAAGCGCTGATGCGGCATAAATGCCATAAGACCGAGCAATGTAGTTTGAGGCGTAAATGAAGACGCATGCATTGCCCACTCCGAAGGGAACACCGGCTAGGATGGGGACAATCCAGTGAACGTTTGGAGTACAAGTCCAGGAAAACCACAACTGACCAACGGCTAGAAGCGTAGCACCAAAGAAGACTATGCTGACCATAGCCTCTGGTTGTACCATGCCGGTTGCTGGATCCTTGCGGTGAAGATTGATCACTTTACGAAATAGAGGTTCGCATGCAATGGCAATCAAGACACCAGCACCTATTCCGACGAACGAAAGACCACCAATACCTGGCGACCATCCACGTTCTTGTTGGAAAGCGATTGGATACGCGACGAAACATAGGTAAAGGACGCCATAAACAATCGCAACATAGCCGTCCCAAAACATACTGCGGGAATGTTAGTCTGGGCCTTCTAGGATGACCGGAGAATAGCTTACCATATTGGCTCTTTTAGGAGCATGATGAAAGGTCTCTTGAGATTGATTCTCAGTGAAGATGCGAAACCGACACCATCGTCATAGCGTGTCCACCACTTTGGATCCTGTGTCTCCTTTCGTTTTCTCGCAGCGCGTCTTTTCAAGATCACGGGGGCGTATGTTTCCTTGACAGAAGCTATCAGGACCAGGACCACTCCCCCAATTATAAGAACAATCCAATTTGTCCACCTCCAGCCAAGATATTGGAAAACAAACCCTCCTATTATTGGACCGTACACAGGGCCGTTCGTGGGCCCAATAGACCAGAATCCAAATGCCAAAGCGCGGTGCTTATCCGAGACGATGTCATTCACTGATGCGGGCGAGTTCGACATCAATGCACTTCCGAAGAATCCTCCGAAGAACCTGCTCACAAGGATTGATTCGATGTTTTGAGCTAAAGCACTCGGCAATAATAGCAACAGAAATATTGTCATTGAGGCAATGTAGACTGGCCGCCGTCCCACAAGCTCGCTGAGTGGAGCAAAAATGATGCTGCCTATCCCCATTCCAAAAAGATAAGTCGTGACACCAAGGAGGGCCACGATCTTCGAAACGTGGAAATCTTCTTGTAGTCCTGGAATTCCAGATGTGTACAGTGTGCTGGAGAGACTGACAACTGTAGCACCAAGACTCATGGCAGCGACAGTGAGGCCTTTGTACCAAAGCGGCCACAGGCGGGGATTTTCGGGGTCTTCGGAGTCCCAGTAAACTTCGAATGCAGGGGGTGCATGTATGCTGGGCAATTTGGAGATTACTGGCTCGAGATGTGAACTGAAGTGGTCTTCGGCGCCTACATTGCAGCTGTCGGCTAGATTGGATTCGTTGCGCAAAGTTCCAGGATGATAGAGGTCGACCATTGTGGTGCAGTCCAATTGAGATTCACTGAACTGCCAAGAGATGAGGGAGTGAAAGGAGCAACTCCATTTCAAAACTTGCCCATTTATAGGGATGTTGCAGATATACCCATGGATAAAGCGGCAAGTGGGATATGCCGACTATCTATTAATGTTTATTCAGTTAGGGCTTCAAGTGGGATGCCCCGTGGAACCGCATTGGTGGCGTTCCTCGCTCGGGGCTCCACCCGGAGCTTCGGTCATTACGTTCTCTTCTCTCTTTTTCCCTTGCATTCACTTCGATCTCTTCACTCTAATAAATATCAAATTCTCTAATGTCCTTTGATGACAGAATTGAAGGTCCAAAAGATCTGCAAGTATTCTGCACAATGTCGCCACCTGCCGATCCCGCCCCTGTCTGGTTCCATTGTGACTATCCGGACTGCAACGCAAAATATCGGCGTAAAGAGCACCTTACTCGACATTGCAATCATCATAATGGGGAGACCAATCTCGCCTGTCCTTATTGCGAGAGCGTCCTGACCAGGAAGTGAGTGGCCGCTTGGATCCCATGGGAGAACTTACAACTCAGATGACAACCAGTGATCTGTTGCGACGCCATATCCGGACATATCACCCGCAGAGACAAGCGCCGCCATCTCGAAAAACTAGGGCATGCAGTGCATGTCATGCGCGCAAAGTCCGCTGCGACGGTGTACTACCATGCAATGCCTGTCAACATCGAGGCGTTATATGTGTACCTGCTGGGAGTGAAACCGCAAGCGAACAAAGGTTTTGCATCGATGATCTCTACTCTTTGCCACCTGTTTCCACGATTAATGATTCCGTTTCTGACGCTCCCCGATGGATTGCTCACGACTATATCGATATTTACTTTAATGATTTCCATTCAGCATGGCCGTTTCTCCATCCGGGAACATTTGACTTCGCCAAGGAACCTTGTGTACTTGTTCAATCCGTTGTTGCAATTGGCCTGTGGGTGAAAGGGACTCAGGAAGCGCGAGATGCGTCAATACGTCTGCATAGTAGACTGTGTTCTGCATTTTACGCTCAAATGGTGAGAAGAAGAAATATTATAACATTAACTATGAATAGGCTTTGATGCTGATGTTATGTTTTTGTCCTAGGACCAATGGTGCATCTCTAACTCGAGTCCACGCCAATACGCAAATACCTCGTGGCCCATAACAACATTTCAGAGTGTGCTCTTGAATATCATCCTTGCGCTTTTCATTGCAAGAGAGCATGTTAGTATGGATTGGAGCATGCGATGCCGATTGCCAGACGACAAATACGACCTCTTAGCTGCGCTTGTTCAAAGCTGTCGACGGTGGGGTATTTTCTACTACCCTAACATGCTTCTGCAACACGAAGTCGATGCACCCCTCGCGCTTATATATGTGAACGTTGAAGAGATCAAGAGATTTGGACTAGCCCTCTATAAGGTGTGCCGATTGTCAACCTTCGAGTTGACCGGAGACAGTGCCAATAGTGGCAGAAACGATCTATTGACCCTAGCCGACTTGTCCTTTTGCATGCCAGACAGTGATGAGCTATGGAATGCTCCATTGGGCGAGGAGTCCGAGGTATTAAACAAGACTAATTCGTCAGCAGCCGCACGAGACAATGGAGATGCGAAAAACTGGATATCTCAAGCATCTGCTGTTGTAAATGACGCACGAGTTGGCTTTGATTGGATATAGCACGAGCTATCATGGAAGATGTGGCTTATTAGCCGCAGATCAAGACATAACCATCGAACACATTTCCCCACTATTTTATTTCGTAGAGTTGCAAAGTCTTGATAAAAGCACATAGCCAATCTATATTGGACCCACACCTTCGCCGACCCCGAGGTCCACAGCCACCAGTTTCGTATCTATGGGTCCATGCCCAAGTGGGATGGCCGTGAACTCATTGCCCAACCTGCCCAGGTGGGATGGCCGACCTCGGGGTCCTTCTATGATTATTCATCCCCCGCAAAATCTCTAAGCAAAGCGTATCCCCGCCGGGCCCGGGCCCCAACATATAAACACATATAAACCCACTCCTTTTTTTGTCAACAGTTCCTACTACAGTGCCATCCGCCTTCCATTTTCAAAACCCCCTTTACTCTACAATGTCTTCCACCGCTCAGTCCTTCCGTGAGATCGTCGGGATTCCCCCCTCCACAGCCTCCCCGCAGGACTCAACCCTCATCATAATCGATGCTCAGAATGAATACGCCACAGGAGCCCTCAAGACCGAAAACGTCGCGGAAACCCGCAAAGCCATTGCCAAGCTACTGGAAAAATACCGTCAAGCCGGTAGCGGCAAAAACATCGTGCACGTCGTCCATGAGGTGCCCGAAGGCGCACCTGTCTTCACGCCGAACACCCCCTTGGCGCAAGAGTTCGAGGAACTCACCCCCAAAGCGGGCGAGAAAGTGGTCACCAAGAACTTTCCCAGCTCCTTCGCAAAGACCGATCTGCATGCCTATCTGCAAGACCTAGGCGATGTAGGAAAGAAAGTCGTCTTGGTTGGCTATATGGCGCATGTCTGTGTCTCCACCACTACCCGAGCGGCTGCTGAGCTTGGATATGATGTGCTCGTTGTGAGGGATGCCGTGGGTGATCGGGATATACCTGGTGTCAAGGCTGAGACTTTGGTGTCTGTGGTCTTGAGTGAGCTGGCGGATGGTTTCGGGACTATTGTCTCCGAGGAAGATATTCGTGCGTAGGCAACTGATGTAGTCTAAAACCGAAAGAACTGTTAGATCATCTTGACCTCGAAGGCTTACTGTATGAAGTACCGTTCGGCAAGTACACAGCATTGCTCTTATTGGCGTCACTTGGACGCCAAACGATGCAGTTAGGCATGGCTCGGGAATAGATGAACGCTGTTCAACGGTGTTTGAATCTATGTGGTAGTATATGAGATCATAAAGTATGAAAAGTACAATATAACGATATTGTAGAACTGTGTAACTATGAAAGAGACGAAAGGTGGACTGTAAAAGTCTGAATACTATGGTAGAGTTATGTGACCACTGGGAGATACCAACAAAGGCTAATGGGTGTGATATAGCTGTGGATCCTCTAGTAGTAAGCGGGCCTTTAGGCCTGTCACTTGTACTTGCAGCGACAGGGGGGAATGAAATCTCGCTATGCCCGGCATTGTGCTAAAACGTAGTTTACGAATTATTTCAAAGGATAAATCCTATCTTCAAACTATCACAAATTATGTAGAGACTATGCGAACTTGACAAACTCAAAACGAAGTGGCGCGGTTCTCTCTTTATAGGAACTCTGCAGTAGCATAGTTCTCAGTAATAAAGAAAAGGCCCACTAAGCAAGAACCGATAACATCTGGAAACGACTGACATGAGTGGCGTGAGACTCAATGAATATCAAAGCCCCCCAAACCCCAGCAAATCAACGACCGGGAATGCGGTCATAGGAACTGGAAGCACGAGCGTGCGCAACGAGTGAAGGCGTCCTCAGATTGCCCATTTGAAGTAGTAGCGGCAGCTGCACCGTTGCTGCTAACCACCTTAGAAGCTGAGCTAGAGTCCGACTGACCGGTCCAGATCTCCGGACCAGGCATAGGATAATCCTTGTAGCCATTCCAGATACTGAAGTTGAACGAAGGGTCGTCTTTCTTGTAAGCACCGGGGAATTTGACCGTAGGTCCGGGGGTTCCATTGCCACCACCAACAACCTTGACTTGAGCACAGCTAAGAATCCTGTCAGCATTCACTGAAAAACAGAAGTATGACAGGCGCGAGAAAGCTTGACTTACGAGTTGTAAAATTCGGCTTGTCCACCCGCGGCACCGTGAATTCCTGTTCCAGAAATTAGTATCCTTTGCTTATACTAATAATATAACAGACATACCAATGTGCTCCGGCCGAATCAGATACTCCCCATCAGGCAAACTCGCAGGAATCGTGAACTCAATACGATCCTTGTCCCAAGTACACCAGGCATCCTTGGTAAAGTCCTTGGTCTTGTCGCAGACGCTCTCTTGGTGGATCTTGAACCACTCACCATCGCCCTGGTATTCCTTGGCGGTGGTAGGAGCCTTGGACATGTACACGAGGGCAGGACCAGGGTGCTGCATTTTAGCACCAACGGCAAGCTTCATGGCAACCTTGGATCCGGCCTTGACCTCAGCGGTATCGGTTTGGCCAGCGAAGCTGAAGGCGCCCTTATTGCAGCGGAAGTCAGGGACATCAGGGGTCATGTCGTCGCGGGTGTTGACCCATTTGGTTGGGTTGTACTTCGCGGGACGAGTATTGGACCGGACATACTCGGAAGCTTCTTTACCGTCAATGATGATGGTGTCGAAGAAATAATGGGCTGAGACCATGGGCGCAATGGCTGCGAGAGCCACAAGGGAGAATTTCATTTTGAAATCAATGAAAGAACTGTTTGGCTTTTGGAAAGAATGAACTGAGGGACCTGCCCAAGGAAAGCAAATATACTGAGATAGAAATGAAGAGAAATGAAGGGACGGAGCTGCTCACAATGACTGTGTTGAAGTCATCAGTGAAGGTTATACGTCGTACTTATATGCTTTCGGATATCTGAGTATCTTGCACGAGACACATCTCGGCCCCTGGCCATTGCCTCACACCGAGGTATTCTTGATTCGTTTGAAACAAAAGGATGGAGCTGAGCTGTTTGGTCTCATTTAGTCAGGAATGACAAAGGCGTTATTATGGATCGGGGCAGATATATCTGAAACACGGCTTAAAGTTGCCTTAGTGAAGACCAGATGCTAAGCCCTGGCATCTGGCATGGCTTTTCCTACAACAAAGTTGCCTTCGTGAAGGCTAGCTGATAAGCTTTAGCATGGCCTTTTCTAGGACAGAGAGGCCTTGCAGTAGTGCCTGGTTGAAGTCTGAATAGGATCTACTAGGGAGTAAACCAGCAGACCTAGTTACTCGGCGAGAGCCCGAGGTTCCATAGAGACATGAAATTGAACTTCGGTAGAAACGATAGTCCCACTTGCCGAGAGAGGCTTGGCACGTCAATATATAACTTTACTTCACGAGACAGGAAGCGATATGATTGGTGAATGAGAAAATAGAAGGTCTTGGCGCGGTCACCTAGACCTTTGGTCACTAAGTCCGTTACAAAATGTTCCAGAATTTAGCCTGAAAAGAATTATCCATTCGCTTATAGAAACAAGGGGTACGAGAGGTGTGCCTAGGGCTGTTTATCCAAAACGCTTGATCAGATGCTTGACCACAGCTTCTCCAATTAGATATGCCCACATCAAGCGGGGACAGTGAACTCGGGATCTGGACCCTGATACTACCTACATCCCCTTTTGGCAATTATCCGACTGAAGAAACAGGGTAAACAAATCCCGCGTCTTGGCCTCCCTTCACTCCATAGAATATCAATCTGTGACGGTCATTCCCGGTTGCTACGCAGTATTAACCCGGATGAGGTCTGAACAGCGCTGTGGCCGTGTCAAACTAGACACGGGTCGTGGAAGAGCTCGAATTTTGTCGATCTCGAGGTCGTGCTGGCGGCTTAATCATCGAACCCCAAGAGGTTGGAAATATAAAGCCATGGAGGTGGCCATGAATCGCACTATCACTTTTCCTCGATCAATCCTGAGTATTGAGGCAACCTTCCAAACTTTCACTTGATCAGTCAAACTCCCTCGTCTGTGATATATTGTTCCTTTCTTACCTGAAGATGATGATCCTCCCTGCCCTTCTAGCCCTTGGGTTCCTATCTTCAGCCGATGCCGCCGCATCCTCAGGCTGCGGCAAACAACCTACTCTCACCAATGGAGTCCACAATATCAATGGCCGCGAGTACATCCTGAAAATCCCCGACAACTACGACTCAAACAAGCCCCATCACCTCGTCTTCGGCCTCCATTGGCGAGGCGGAAACATGAACTCTGTCGCCAACGGCGACAGCATTCAACCCTGGTACGGTCTCGAAGACCGAGCGCAGGGAAACGCAATCCTGGTATCACCCAATGGCAAGAACGCTGGCTGGGCCAACACCAATGGCGAAGATGTGGCTCTCATTGACGCCATCATCCGGCAAGTCGAAGGTGACCTCTGTGTGGATCCCAGCTCTCGCTTCGCGACGGGCTTCAGTTGGGGCGGTGGGATGAGCTATGCGCTTGCTTGTTCACGGGCAAAGGAGTTCAGGGCCGTCAGCGTGTTGAGTGGTGGTGTTATTAGTGGATGTGAGGGCGGCCACGACCCTATCGCTTACTTGGGTATTCATGGCACTAATGACCAAGTTCTGCCATTTGATGGGGGTGTGGCTCTGGCGAATAAGTTTGTTGGGAACAACAAGTGCCAGCCAACAAACATCGGCAAGCCTGGGTCTGGAAGTGGCGGTTTTATTCGATCAGACTTCCACGGATGCTCTAAGCCAGTTTCATTCATAGCTTATGATGGAGGACATGTCGGTGCTCCTCTGGGTGTTGGCAGTTCTCTGGCTCCGGATGCGACCTGGGAGTTTTTCATGGCGGCTTGAAGTTGGGGTTAGCGCTTGACAGTGGAATGCTTTTCGCTATCATTCCCTCGCGATTAGGCCACCGCCCATGTGATTCAGTACATGGTCAACGTGGTTGGTTTATACAATAACAAGCCAGTAGCAGCTGTAGCCGGCATTCTAAGCTCGAAACTTCTGGGTAATTATAGAGTCACAATTCTGAACTTAGTCGGCTTCTGCTTTGTAGTAGCCCCAATTACCTTTTTAGGATGCTTTTCAGCTTAGCAAAAAAGGTGCAATGGTAGATGAAAGCCGGGAGAGTCGCGATGCGACTTTTAAAGGGGCTTGAGGTAAGACTACGGGGAACATTAGTAGAGGATATGACCCCGCTTCTGTCTAACATCTGCCTGAGCACTTTCGTGAAATCAGGCTAGCCAGGCAATGTAGTAGAAATGTTGAAATAAGGGTTGGCCGCACTCTGGTTAATGAGTTCCTTTTCGGATGGACTGACAGCTATTGAACTAGAGGCTACCTCGCTATGGATCATTATTTGAGATGGCATTCATTTAGTGCCAGCCCTTTTTTATAGCCGAAACAACTTGTTTTGTGACCGAAAACCCCTTCCTTTCGACGTCGCTGATAAATTTCAAGATCCGACATCTGTCCGACTTGCGTGCCATCTCCATTCCAATGGCGTACAGAACAGGCGCATAAATTATAGCCTCGAGATGTAGATGCTCGAGAGAACTTTCAGCATGCTTCAATGCGGAGCTTGCTTGCTCATAACTCAGTTGAAGTGGCATAAGCGGCAGTTCACATCCTAGAGACAGCCAGCACGGATCTGAGAAGATCTGTGAGATCTCAATTGTCGCGGATTGGTAGAGAGTGAGCATGGCATTTCCAAATGTCCCTAATTCCTGGCGTGAATACCAAAGCACGCAGGCAATCGTATCACGTTGAAACTGGGAGGCGATGCAAGTTATATTGATTCCACCAAAATTGCTTTCAGTCGTGTATGTTTCATCGCCATTTTGTTGCAGCCTGGACAGGCTAGTCAGTGATTTCCATTCTATGGCCCACCATTGTAACTGAGCCCACATCTCGAGGTCTTGGGCCAAGCAATCAAGGAGCTTGTCCTGACATTGTGCCAATGTAACACCTTCCTGACTAAGCAGAAGCCTCCTGGACCCAAGGTGAGGTAATTGCCTAGACACCTCGGCCTCTGGGTCTTGTGGGAGACAGATGGCTCTCAAGGCATTCAGGGTTCGGGCAAGTCTGCTCATTGACTTCCCCAGCGGACTGTGTGAGCTGCTTGATCCTTGATGCCGTCTATCAAAAGCGTAAAGCTGACGAACCCAGGAATCCCATAGCTTTCCAGAAGGGTCTGCCAGTAGCTATTCGGTTTATCAGCTTTAGACCACACGCACGATTGAGTATTGGGAATAATTTACCTCAACAAAACTTAGTAACAGAGCGCAGATCAAAACCACCGGAGGGCAATAATCATGATTCGCTATTGGTTGAAATTCTGCGGCAACGAAGTTTCGCAAATTTCGCAGCGAGCGAAACAAGCTTCTCTTGTCCTCGTGTGATACTGACAGTAACTGCGGGTTTTTCAAGGCGTAGTATCCGCCTAGTAAGGACACAGTGTCTTGCAGGAGCACGTTATCATGTAAAAGGGGCGTCAAACAATCCGCCGCGAATACCGTGGTTAAAACTGGAGACGACCCCACGGCAAAGAAGAAGGCGCGATTGTAATGCTCCAATGTGGGGACAAGAGGACCCTTGCATATAGCCCAATCAGCTGATTGCTGGCGTTGGAATATCATTTGAAATTCTGCCTTTGGCACAGATGTCGAATTGCAAGGGATTCCTTTTTGCTTGCAGGCAGTACATGGCCTTGAGCCATCACACTAGATGGCACAATCAGTATAATCTAGACAGCTATAAAAAGACAATTCAGACCTTGATATGATCTCTTCGACAGCGTTGGCACCGGTAACCGAGGCGACGCCTGTCCCTATGCCCGCACGGCATCTTGCAATAGCCTTTGTGTCATACGTAGGGGAATGAGTTTTGCCAGGGCGATTTCACATAGGCATCAATGGTTGCCTAGTCACAAGTATATGATTTTCCGCAGGGGCCGGGTTCTTGTGGAACGAAGAAGGAAAGATTGTCTTTTGCGGAGAAGATGAGATCAGCGCTAGGATCCACTTTCGCAGGGTCATTTCCTAATATCGCCTAGCGCGAAACAGATCAAAAGTAAAACATCCTTTTTCTGAACCGTAGAACAGTACCACTAGTGGGATCCACTTTCGCAGTATTCATTCCGAATATCAACACGAGACATGAGCTTCCACTCGCACATGTTGCCATCACGGTGCTTTTATTTTATGGCTGTACAGCTAGGATATAGGAGAAACGATGAAATGATTGCAAGACCAATAGCCTATTCCTATTCCTATTGCGTCTTACTATCATAGTTAAGCACCCTCTCCAGTCTTTATAAGAGGCAGTCGCAGGAACCCTCAAGCCTTGCACTTTTTTCCTTTCAAGAAGTTCAGAAATCTATTCAAACAGGCTCCAGGAATTCCTCTGCGTCATGGCTTTCAAATTTTATGCTCTGTTATTCGCTCTGATGCCCTCCATCCAAGCCATACAAGTCGCAAACTTGAATGTCTCTGAAGGTATTGCTAGCAAATACAGTTGTGACTCAACCTGCTACAAGAATTTTCAGGAAGGTATAGCTGCAGATGCCGCTTCCTACGGCGCAATTTATGACGCGGGTTTCTACGAGACCGCCCATAACTTTTCCAGCTCGAAGCCCGGCGATGCGCTCAAATTAGAGCCAGTCAATGCCACTCTTCTCCACAATATCCCTAAGGGAACTACTGCCTACAGGTTCCAATATGTGTCAAAGGATCTCGATGGCAAGAAGATCCCAGTTACGGGTTTCATTGCTTTCCCTTACGCCAGCAGGTTGAACGGCCATGTATACCCTGCTATCGCCTATGGCCACGGTACATCCGGCGTGTTTCGAGGTTGTGCACCTTCAGCTATGCCAACCTTGTATGAGTATGGCAGCTGGGCCTTCTTGGTTTCGCGTGGATATGCAGTGATCGCGACAGACTATGCCGGGCTCGGGAACAACTACACAGCCCATCAATACCAAGCTTCACCGGCACAAGCTCATGACTTGTACTACTCTCTTGCTGCAGCTCGCAAGCTGTTTGGGCACGCGCTCACAGCCGAGTGGATGAGTGTCGGCCACTCCCAAGGAGGTGGAGGAGCTTGGGCTCTTGCGGAGAGCTCTCTACTGCAGAAAAACCCTCTCTCGCTGGGAAAGTACCTTGGTACAGTTGCTCAGGCACCTGGCGTTCGACTCCAAGACATGGCCCTCGCTGTTATCCAGAGCTCATCTTCCAACGTCGCTTCGGCCCGTGGTGTTCTTGCGGAAGTCGGATGGATTGTTCTCGGCTTGCGAAGCATTCTTCCCAACGACCCTCAAACCTGGCTACAACCTAAATTCCGGAAGCGTCTTGAGCTTGCGGCACTTGCTCAGACATGCTACGCGTCAATGAGATCGTTAGTTGCGGACCTTGATATCACTGATGTGATCAACATCTCAGACCCAAGCCTTCACTTTGCCCTTGAGAAAATGCAAAGCATCACCGCCAGGGGTGAAGGCAAAAGTCCCCAGCCTCTCTTTATTGTGCAGGGACTTTCTGATGTTTCGGTGCTTCCGCAAGTGGTCGAGACCGCATACAATGCTAGCTGTCAATCGGGGAACGAGGTTCACTTACAAACCTATCCTGGCATCGACCATGACCCAGTTATTTCTGCTTCGGCACCCAGTTTCCTTCAGTGGATAGACGATCGCTTCGAAGGGATCAAGACAACAGGCGGATGCAGTAACAAGACGATCCAACCATTTGACTCTATCAATATGTACGCTCCGAGCGACGCTAGTTAGATAAACGCCTCTGCCCTGCTTCTTTTGCCGACATTGGGATTCAAAAAGTGTTGAGATAGGTAACTGTGCTAGGCAGTGAGGCTAATCTGGTTGTCGGATAGTTCAGATCAGTAGCTCAGGATGTTGTCTGCTAGCTAGCTTGATAGTTCTGAGAGGTTTTCCCTTCCTCCAAATCAATAACTCTCCGCTTCTCTCTGCCTTTCCGCCTATTAGGTTTCGAGTAGCAACGCCACGTTGTATAGCCAACTCGAGCAGATGAATTTTGGGGGGTTAAGTAGTGTCAAAGGAATTGGGCGTGATCTATAGCAATAGCAGCCGTATAAGTCGATGTAATCTATGTCGCTTCTTGAAATAATATCCAGAAGCAGGATTCCTATTATCAAAATCTTCGATTGTCCGGTCTGTATACCGAAAGCGGTCTCCAAGCTGTCGTTTCTTACCTTGACAATGACAATGTACTATTCCAGGAAGGAAATAAATCACATGCTGATATCTTCTGTATAGTAGGAGTTAGATCCTCTGGAGTTTCACTCTCAATGAAAAAGGGACACTCCAACTAAATCCAGGGCTGGCGACTAGGGAGGCAAGAAACGTTCTGGTACGACACTTACTACACATCTTCACTCACATATTACCAACTTCTAATGTCTCTATCAAGTGAATCCTGATTTTGCTCCGCCCCCTCACGGCAACATTACCGAAATGAGGGGATATAAGCTTCAAATTGACACCTCGGCCAATTTACATCTCTAAACCCAACTTCTACCCATCCAATACTCTTCCCTTCTCAACTAGCCTATCCCACCATGACCATCGGAACACTCCCCCAAGAACAACCCCAAGAGCGCAAAACACCACCTTGGAACAACCGCGTCCTCGAAAAGCGCGCCACCCAGCTAGCCCTGATCCCCTCAGCTTGGCACCTCCCAGCACACCTCCTAGCAAACCCCCCAGCATCAAGCATAGACACCATCCGCGCAAGCGGAATTCTCTCCACCGACGAGCTAGTATGGACCGAGACAGCGGATATCCGCGACCTCGTCGAGCTGGTCAAGTCCCGGCACGTGACGAGCGAGTCGCTAACAACGGCGTTTTGTAAACGTGCTGCTATTGCACAGCAGGTTACTAAGTGCTTGACGGAGATCTTCTTCGATAAGGCCTTCAAGCGCGCCAGGGAGCTTGATTGCCATCTGATGCGTACCGGTGAGGTTGTTGGGCCTTTGCATGGGGTTCCGGTTTCTGTGAAGGATCGTTTTGATGTTGAGGGGTTTGATACGACTGTCGGTACGTTCTCTCGTGTTTCTTTCCTTTTTTTCTTCGGTCTCTAGCTGCCAGCAACTTGTTGAATTTTTGCTAATATTTGTATAGGTTGGGTGGGCCTGACCAATAAACCAGCCAAATGCAATAGTTCAATCGTGCAGTTACTCGAGTCGATGGGTGCAGTCCTCTATGTCAAGACCAATGTACCACAATCTCTGATGGTGAGCTCTTTCTCTTTTGTCTTCCACATGCGTTCTTGGGGAAACCCAACTCACTGAGCTACCCGATTAGATGTCCGACTCTTACAACCATGTATTCGGCCAATCTGTAAACGCCTTCAACCACGCCCTAATCTCAGGCGGTAGCTCCGGTGGCGAAGCCGCCCTTCTTGGGTCCGGAGGCAGCGTCTTGGGAATTGGTACTGACGTCGGCGGCTCGATCCGAGTACCTTCCAATCTACAGGGTCTATACTCTATATGTCCGACCACAGGACGAGTACCGTGGGACTGTTCTTTGTAAGTCATTAATTTTTCTTGTCAGGATACCGAAAGGTCGGTACTGATATATCTCGATAGCTTACACCAGCACTACCTTATCCCACCCGTTGCCGGTCCAATGGCCACATCTCTCGCTACGACAGAGTACTTCATGGAAAGTCTCCTTTCGTCTAGTCCCTGGAATGTAGATCCAAGCGCAGTTCCCATCCCATGGCGGAAAGAGCTCGCGACCCCGCGGGCGCATCGTAAGTTGAGACTGGGGGTTGTATTTGATGACGGCGTCGTTAAGCCGCAGCCGCCTGTTGTGAGGGCAATGCATGAGACGATCGATGCATTGCGAGCCGCTGGCCACGAAGGTATACAGCCCCTCGTTATTTTTCACGATATATTCTCTTTCCCTTCATGGGTCGGAAAAAGTGCCATAACTAACCTGTCGAAGTAATCGAATGGGACACCTCCCTCCACATCGCCATTACCAATCTCTGGACAAAAGGCATTCTCGCCGATGGTGGTCAGCACTGTCGTTCGCTCTGTAAGATAGTCGATGAACCCTTGGTTGAAGGCATGGTTGTCGGCAAAGAGAGCGATCTTCTTTCACATGAGGAGCGAGAGCAGGTAAGGGATAAGACACCACTCACAGCAATAACATCTACAAAGAGCCTTCTCATAATGCTCCAGACTCAAATCAAAATCATCTATGATTCTAACATCTCTAAACCAGTTCGAAGCAACAAAGCTCACCCTCCAAACTGCCTTCCTGAAGCAGTGGGTTTCATCAGAAATAGACGCCCTTCTTATGCCTGTTCTCCCATGGGTAGGCTATAAGCCCAAAACATGGGTCAAGAGCAAGCAGTGGCTGGGTTATACGGCTATGTGGAATCTGTTAGACTACGCGGCTGTTACTATTCCTGTTGCGAGGGCGGATCGGAGCCTTGATTCTGTCGGTAGCGGGTGTAATGCTGAGTGGGAGGGACATTCTATTAGGAATGAGTCGGATGCTTTTAACTATTTGCAGTGTAAGTGGTTGTATCCTTTGTTTATTGCTTTTGGGGGGATTGAATAATGCTGATTTTCCCTCTTGTTAGATGATGTCGACCTTGTGCATGGAATGCCTATCTGTGTGCAGATTGTTGGGGGTCGATTTGGAGAGGAAAAAGCCATCGCGGTTGGGAAGGTCGTTGATGGGTTGATGAATCCGTTTCATTCATAAAGGTGGAAGATACTACCTACATGCTGGGGCAGAATCGAGATAGCAAGAAATGAGTTCATGGAACATATATATGAGGAAGCGCCTTTTCCTCTATGGCTTGTAGATCCCATCCAAACAGCCATCAAATGATAAAAAGTAGATACAATGCAGCCAGGCCTTTCCAGCCGAAAATCCTTCAAGATATGTCCCATACCTTTCCATGTGCGCAACCAACAGATCGACAATAATCTAGAATTCGAACTCCTTACGGAAGATGTTCACGTCCATACCGGCGACAACCTGGTCAGCCAAGTCACGACGGCCCATCTGGCTGAACACACGACGCAGCGTATCGTACAGATTCGTGCTCTGATTCTGGCTGATATGCAGCATGCGCTCGAGACGCTCGTCGTCCAGGCCGTCCGGATGCACACCGTCGTTGATGATCTCGCGTGCACGCTCGCGGCCCTCCTGCTCTACGACACGGTGCATGGATAGCGCGCCCAGCAGGTGCTGTGCGGCTTCTGGATAGCAGCCGATGTTGATGCAGGATACGCCTAGGTTGTAGCGGGCACGCACGAAATTGGGGTTGATGTTGAGGGCTTGCTCGTAGGCTTCGATGGCTTCTTCGGAGCGGCCAGAGTTGGCGAGGGTCGCGCCGAGTCGGTTCCAGAGGAGGTGGAGCTGCTCTTGTTGGTTGGTGCTGCCGGACTCGGTGGAGGCTAGGGCGGCGGAGAAACAGTCGACGGCCTTCTCGTATTCCTCCGCGCAGTAGAAAAGAACACCCAGTCCGACTTGTACGTCGGGGTCCATCTGGGCTCCTGAGGGGGAGAGTTGGGCAGCTTGGATGAATAATTCTGTTACGCGGTCGTGGAGAAGTTGTCGGTCTGTGAAGCCAAGGTCTGAGTCGCCGGATACTTCCTTCGGGTCGATAATCGTTGGGTATTTGTTAGACAGCCAACGCTCGAGTGTGCGGTAGGCAGTCGAGTCGTAGCCCTCGTTTGTGTACGACACAGCTAAGCCCATCAGTGCATCCAAATTCCCGGCATCGACCTTCATGGCTTGTTCCAATGCGCGGATAGCGGGCAATTCCTTTTCGTTCTGCGCCTGCGCAGAGCCCAGCATCGTCCAAGCGTGCACATGCTGCGGGTCTTTCTGAACCGCAGCCTCGAAAGCCAGTGCTGCCAGCGACAGATTACCACCCTCACGCATGATCTTCATTCCCTCCTCGAACGGATTGCCCACAGCCTGGTAGACATTATCCTCCTCGAACATATAGTCGCCGAGCTGGGGATCCCGGAAACGAGAGTTGAGACTATCAAAGCCATCCCAGTCACCTAGATCACCAACGTGCGCGTTATCGGTGTGAACTTCGAACTCTTCCTCGGCAAGTTTCCTGCTCGTCGCGGTCTCAGCCTGGACTCGTTGCCATACAGACTCGAACGCGTCATTGGAGGGCACTGACCTGTCCAAATCATTCAGTTCCGCCTCCATGGCCGCATTAGCCTCTTCATCCGTCTGGGTGTCATTGCCAACTGTCGCAGTCTCCATCTCAGCAAACTGGGCCTCCCAGTTCTCATCGTCGAGCTCTACCATCCTCCCCTTTCCCTTATCCTGTGTCTGCCCCTCCATAGGCCCCTGCTGCATCCCCATATGTCCACCCATCATAGGCCGCATCATCCCCATACCACCCATAGCACCCATATAACCACCGCCCATGGCCATCGGACGCTGGTATCCCGCCATCATAGGCGAGGCGGTCGTCGCAGCAGGGCTCGACGTCTGCGGCATACCCATACGGTTCTGCTGTTGGAAGCGTGCGAACTCAGCAGGACTGAACCCAGGTGCATTGTTCATCTGGCCCGGGAACGCGGCTTCCATGCGCGCTTGCTCGCCCGAGTCGAACTCCTTTGCCCACCCGGGTGACCCAGTGCGGGCAGGCGCCGTCTGGAAGTTATCCAGCTCGCGGCGCATGTGCTCCATTGCGAATGGTTGCGGCGAGGGCCCATTTAGCTGTTGTCCTGGTTGTTGCATGAAATCGTCCATCATCTGATAAGGATTTTCCCAACGCCGAGATTAGTTTTCCGTTGCTGTTTTCCTTTGCGGGTGGCTGTAGGATGTGGCTCACCTGGTCCTGTCCGCCCATCATGTTGTGCGAGCGCATGCCTTCTTGCATGCCTGGTCCCCGGCCGACCAGCCGGTCGCGCTGTAGTGATTTATCATCCTGGACGTGCTTCGTGAATTGTGAGAGAGGGTTCCCCGCGGTAGAGCATTCAGCGCCACCGAGGAACGACATGGTGGGGATGTGACGGGTTAAAGGTGAGATAATGAGGTAAAGTGTTAATGCAAAATATAAATTCGGAGAGAAGCAAAGGCAAGGTAAAGGTAAAGGTGCATTTCCCCCGGATAACCCCCGAGAGGTCTGACGTGGGGTTCAAGACCTTTCCGCCTCAGCCGAGGTTCCCCGACGGAGTCACGAGATTCACGAGGTACCTACATATGGAAAAATTACGAAATATACTGTTTGATATGATGGATTGAATTGTCCAGTTTCTAGCCTCATTTATTTGTTTAATACGTACTAGTTGGATTTTCTTAGTATACTCAAAGCCAAGTTCCCAAATTCACTAGAATGAGTATCAGTATGCCGGTCGCAACCCCAATATTATGAGAAAGATACTGACCATGAATCGCCTTCACTTGAGTGTAGGCCGAAAGGGCATATTCACCCAATTCCCTCCCAATACCGCTCTGCTTGTATCCACCGAACGGAATAGCAAAGTGAGAGTCTTGCGAGCTGTTGATCTGTTGAGGGTCAGTATATGTCATGAACAATGGTATCTGCAAGTACATACCCAAACCATGCCCGCCTGAATAGTAGCAGCGACATTATGAGCACGGGTAATGTTCTCCGTGAATATGGCAGCACCGAGTCCATAGTCGGTATCATTAGCCTTCTCAACCGCATCCTTCTGGTCCTTGAAAGACTGGATAACGACAAAGGGACCAAAGACCTCCTCCCGCACGGGAGTCATATCGCGATTGGTATCCTTGAAGATAATGGGCTTGACGAAATAACCCTTGGCATCCGGGGAAGGCTGATCATCTCCAAGAACAAGCTGTGCGCCTTCGCGCTTGGCAGTCTGGAGGTACCCCAGAATGCGACTTTTCTGCGCAGCGGACACTTGAGGTCCGTGGTTCACTTGGGGGTCAAATTGACTGCCAACGATAGAATTCTCAATAGTATACTGCTTGAATTTCTCGACAAAAGTCCCGTAGATACTCTCCTGCACGTAGATGCGCGAGGTGGATGTGCAAATCTGGCCCATATTGCTCATGATGCCGACGTGCGACCACTTCACTGCCTGGTCAAGGTTGGCATCCTCGAAGACAAGCAAGGGGCTCTTGCCGCCTGTCTCGAGTGTAATCGTCTTCAGGTTTGAGGCAGCCGCCTTCATAATGGATTTTCCGGTGTTGGTGCTGCCGGTAAAGGCGATCTTATCCACGTCCAAGTGCGATGCCATAGCGGCGCCGGCAGTGGCACCGGGGCCATTGACAACGTTTACCACTCCAGCGGGGAAGCCAGCTTCCTTGATCAAGGAAGCGAGATAGAGGATTGAGAGCGGGGTTTGTTCGGCAGCTTTGATGACAACGGTATTGCCGCATGCGAGAGCAGGTCCAAGTTTCCACGCCGCCATCTACTCGGCATTAGTGTTGCCTAAACGGCTTGGGTAAAGGGACACTTTTCTGTGACATACCATAACAGGATAGTTCCAAGGAATGATCTGCCCACACACTCCAATAGGCTCGTGTCTAGTGTAGGCCAACTTGGCCTCGCTGGTCGGGATGGTCTGTCCGTGAATTTTGTCTGCCCAGCCGCCATAGTAGCGGAAGACAGAGACGACCTCGGCGAGATCCTCGCCCAATGCCTGTTCATATGGCTTGCCGTTATCCCATGCGTCGATTGTGGCGAGAATGTGCTTGTCGCGGTCGCAGAGGTCCGCGAGTCGGGTCAATAGGAGGCCTCGGTCATACCCGGTCAGGGATTGCCATTCCTCTGACTTGTAGGCGTTTCGAGCTGAGGCTACAGCCAGGTCGATATCCTCTGGGCCAGCGGATGAGACGCTGGCGATCACGGATTCATCGTAGGGGTTGACAGTTGAGAGTGTCTGGCCGGAGATAGAGGGAACGAATTCATTGTTGATGAACAGTCCTTTTCTAACTTATGAATTACTGAAATTGAGCTTCTGAAGAATTAATTGCTCACCAGTAGGTTGTAAGTAAGAGGTCCTGTTAGGAGCCGTTAGTTGGATAGGTTGAGCCATTGTGAATGTAAATTGGAGTTTCTGGGGTTTGCAAAATCCTAGGCTTCGAGGCTTTATATTATACTCCTCGTAAACAATTAGGAGATTTATCTCATTTTGTGACAAAGAGCAATGTTTTCGGAGAAAAGCCAAGCCAAAATCGGTTTGGCCGTGGCCTATCTCTTTGCCTATTCGGGAAATGCGGAGCCCCATAGATGAGGGGACGCGCGATTCTGGAGTCCACGAGGACGGAGGTCCTTTGACATTCTGAAGACCACTTAGTCCAAATACTTTCCCGTTGAGGTCATTATTGTCGTGCAAGATGTCGAGAAAGATGCCCTCTAAGGCAAGTAACAAACCCATCTACCGCAGCCTAGCGTTAGTTCAAAAACTGAAATCTTGGCTATTCTCTCAAACATGCACAATCGATAAAAGATTGCGTAGCCATCCTTTTTAGGTAGTTTGAGGGGCATGGCCAGAATAATTACCGTATCTGAAATGACCCATTCTTTTGTACATTCTTCAAGGGGTATGCTTTGAATGGCTGTTTAAATAGTCTCAACTACTTCC